ACGAAACTTACCTTTTTTGAATTACTTGCGTATCATGGGCTCTACAAACACTGTTATTGCCATTAAAATAGCTGAATTCTCATTCTTCTCATGGGCTTTGCATGTTATGCAGGCGGGGAAACTGGCTGATCTTGTTCTATGGAAGCCTTCGTTAACCAGAAATGGTGATAAAATGTGGTGCAATTGCATGGGCTAATATGGGTGATCCAAATGTAAGCATCCCCACTCCTGAACCGGTAAAGTTTATAGTTTACAACAATTCTTAGGCATGGATGCATTTTCTTGTCATGACAAATCTTTTGCATGATCGATGAGGAGGGTCCGAAAGGATTTGGAGATAGCAGTAGATATTCGTCTGGGATGTGTAATAATTTTAGCAATTTTTGTTCTGATTACTCTAGAAAACCTTATGTGTTAGCAGGTTATTTCAAGGCCTATGCTTGGTGCATTTGTCAAGGCTGGTAGTACTCATTCCATTGCTGTTGTCAGCCAAGCATGGATCTCTCTCTCTCTCTCTCTCTCTCTCTCACACACACACACACACACACGAGATTCATTAGCAAGACTGATTCTCTTTATTTCACTGTGCAAACAAGCAGCTGTAGATAATTGGGTTAAAGACTTGTATTGCCTTGAGAAGAGAGAGGTTGATCCGGAAACATACACGGTGACAGCAGACGGCATGGTTCTTACCCGCAGTCCAGCCACCACAGTTCCACTTTCTCGGAACTACTTCATGTTTTATGCTCCTTCACAGTTCCTAAAAACCACCTCTCCCACTAGTATTATAATTCAAAAGTCTAATGAGCTCAAAGAAAACACCTGAAATATGTACAAATAGAACCAGTTATAGACTTTTAAGAAAAAAATACAACGGGAGGGCACTAACTTATGTTTTATTGTATGGCTTAATGTCTGTTAAGTGTCCTGGGATTCTACGTGTGCATGTTTCCTAATAAATGTTGGTTCGTTGACATTTTTGTGAGGCACAACCTTCCCGAGTTTGATATATAAGGATCTTGTTCTAGCTTGTTTTGATAATGTGAATCTATATATTTGGTCGATCATAGAAAATCTATTAAAATAAACCAGCAAGGAGCCTTAAAAATGGGTAATCATGCAAGTGAGTGTTCTTGGTCTCCAATTAATATGTCTTTCACATGTGGAACTGCTGGAACAAAAAATTAATAATATAGAAATAATTAAGAAAATGAAAATTTATTTATTTTCTGAATTTTAAAAAATAAATAAAAATAAGAACCCTAATAGTGGTAGCAGCTCCTGCAGCTACACCTCCCCTCCTAATCTCCCCCACCAGCTTCCCACCGCACACACTTCAACTGAACCACATCCCCCACCCCGCCCCACACCCCCCCCCCCCCTCCCTCCTCCCTCCTCCCTCCCAACTCCCTTCACTCTCTCATTGGATTCCCCCCCCCCCCCGTCCCACTCTCTTCCTCCGCCCTCCCTCCCTTCACTCTCTCATTGAATCCAGATTTGTGGAGTATAGCTAGGAGATTTAGAAGTCATCGATCAAATGCAATAGGCGGTTCCACCAAGACTTGTTGGTTTCATATCAAGATAGTTGGAGAAATAGGGTTGTTGGGCGGGGGAGCAGGGTCGGTTTAGAGATTTTTGAGGCCTGAAGCGATGTCAAAAAATATGCTCTCACTTCATATAAAAAAATTATTTGTTTTCACACGTAAGACATCAATAAAATTATATTTAGAAAAACACTTCAAACTAAATAGTTTAAAAACACGAAATAACTAATTTATTTGTATCGAGAGAAGGAAACCAAAAAACTTCGGGCTTACAAGTAGGTAGATTATGAGTTTTGTTTTCCATCTGAACTTTTAAAGTGTTTTTGTATAAATCGTGAGGTATTTTTTCTTATTTACTAACCTCGTCAATATAAGACTAAAAATATAATAATATTTTCGAGTCTTTAAGGATATGTATAAGTAATGAATGAACACTAAATTAAACATTTTGATGATACGTAATATTATTTGCAAATTTGGTTTAAAAATTTAGTCTACACGTTACTCTTTGTTGAAGATTAGAATTGAATTGGAACGGATATTTAAAAATAATAACCCACATAACTACTAGCTAGTAAATAAATTAACAGCCAAACAAAAATTTGTAAAAATTGAAAAAAATAAATATGCACATAGCATTTCGAACTTAGGAGCTCTTGTTAATTTTAAACAACAAAAACCATTGCTTTTAATTAACTTCCTGATCATTTAGCCAAATTTTATAAATTTATACTGTTATGAAAAGAAATTTGTAAAAATTGGAATATAAATAAGCACACGGTGTTTTGAACTTAAAACTTTCTCATTAATTTTAAACAACAAAACCATCATTTCTAGTTAAATTTCTTTGTCACTAACCAAATTTTATAAATATATACTCTTCTAAAAACATATATAAATATATCACTCTAATAATTTTGGTGCCCCCAATTTTTTTGGACCCCGGATGATCGCCCTGCCTGACACACCTCGACCGAAATCAGGACGTGCTACCCATCATGGGATTGCTCTCGTGTGAGTTCCCAGAAACAAAACTGTGAGGACGTGGTCGGGACCCAAAGCAGACAATATCATGCTACGATGGTGGAGCAGGCCCAGAATATGGTGGGTCCTGGACCGGAATGTGACACTGCCCGCACTGAACATGGGCCGGGCCTGCGGGGGAGGTTGACTGCTGTAGGGGTGCTGGTTGATGAAGGAAATATATCATGGTTTTTTTTTTTTAATATTAATTTATAATATTTTTAATTAGTAGAAAATTTTGAACCCTATGTTGTACGTGTTGACTAACAAATTTTTTAACGGTAGATAATACATTGCAACATAATCCAAAGTTCAGATTGTAAATGATAAAAATTAGAAGTTTACTTGGTAGATGCGTACACCAACAAAAATCCAGATAATCTGTCTACAAATTTCCCTAATAATAATGCACGAGCTAGGGTTTGCCATTTTCCACGTGAATTGTTGGCATATTAAATGGTAACAAAATTTGACTACCAAAAAAAGTTAACAAAATTGACCCTCTAGATATCAATTTCTTTTCACTTGTGTTCATTTTAGTTATTGGATTAAATAATTTAATCCAAGAAGAATGATGAACAACACAAACATGATTATACAGAAAAATAAAATGAGTTCAGATTTCATTTCCCTTCCTTCACCTGCTTCTTCTTCGTTTCCTCCCTTTTTAAATTAATTTAAATCTTGTCTCTTTAAAATAAAATATGTAATCGTATAAAAGAAGATTTTGCATCTTCGATCTGTTTCTATACAGTTGAATTATTTACAAGTTGTTGTTTTCTTGGTTTGATTTTTATATAAATAAACATGTGAAAAAGGAGGTATGTGTTTATATATTAATTAATGTGTTAGTTTGTGATTAACAAGGATCACTACAAACAAGTTAGTGGTCGTTTATAAACTAATTAAACTACACATTGTTGTCAGTTAAGTAAGATAATGCTACCAGCATTGGAATATGTATTTATGTAATATGAATCTCCAACACCTTGTTACATGTTCCTACTTTTTTCTTACAACTACCAAACTCAAAAGTTGAAACATGGTTTTTTCATGCGTACTGTGTTCACATAGTTAGCTCTTGGTCTTCTAGTTGGAAACATCATCTTGGTCTCCCAATCGAAAAACGACATCTTGGTCTTTCGGTCGAAAACAACGTCTTGGTCTTCTGGTTGAAAAATGTCGGTTGATGAAGTTGTGTAGGTGCACTATTACGTGGTGGAATTGTAACCTTTTATGAATTTCCCATTTCTTGCTCAGCGGAACTTTGCTTATTTGAGCATCGTACATATAGACCTAGTTAGATCTACAGTACTAAATTGAATAAGTTAATTGTTGACAAAAAAAAAAAAGTGATTTTTGTACATTATTTTTTTTCTTCTGCACTTCTCTATTTGTTTAAATCATTTTGTAACAAGGTCTTAAGAGTGACGTATACGAATTAATCTACACGTACGAGTTAAACTAGCTAATCGTGTCAATAACAACTTTTATAAGTAGGTGCATTTCTACCTAACCTATTTTAACAATACGGCGCTATATAAAGAAAAATTTACATAATAAAATCATAGTATTACACATAAGGTAAATCATTACAGGATGGTCCAGTGGTTGAGTCGAATTTTATTCCACACAACATGTTATGAGATTGATTCTTAGCATCGGTAAATTATATGATGATGATCTAAAGAAGCTGAAATATCTCTGTGAGTCTTTTCAATCCAAAAAATAAAAATAAAAAAATTTTCCATGACTAAGCTATCATCTGATCTATTTCCTCGTAAAAGAACCTAGTAGGTGCTATGAAATTTGTAATAAACAAACTAATTCAAATCGAGCGGAGTGGTTGACAAATGACAATCGAAGTACGTACTGTGTCGCATTTCTCACACTTGATTCTTCCTACTCAGGGCATCTCCTCTGTAACAGTAAAAAAAAAAAAATCACATTAATATTTTCCAACCGAAATATTAAATTTTATGTAGCAATAACATGGATTGGCAGCAAAAGTAATTGCTGTCAAATTTGATAGCAGCTTCAAATATTTTATTTATTTATTAATTATTAAATGTTTAATTAGTTTAATCTTTTTATATATTTAATTTTGAGTTAACCACAATTTTTTTATTTTTTTCTTCTTTTTGATCAAGGAAGGAAAACAAATTACTGATTAAACTTTAAACGTTTTTTATTAAATTTTAATTAGTTTAATAATTTAATAATTTAATTTGATATATCAGTTAAAATATAAAACTTTAAAAAATATCAAAATGCCACAAAACTGTCAAAATTTAAATTTTATATTTAAAATTTGGTATCTGCTGCCACCATTATTTTAGATAATTTTGTCAGCACGTTTTCCAAGCGGACTTATTTGGACGATAGTCAATTTCACTTTCAAACTGCGATAAAAAAAATAATCATATAAATATATGCTTTAACGAGAGTTTGATCGCACAAATTTCTCTGGCTTTCACGTTAACGCTCTACATAAATTCCACTGGCTTTAGTTTACCGATCGCTCGATCACACTCTCTCTCCGATAGCCACTGAATTCTTTAATCCGTCATTAACACAAATACGCCGTCGTGTCACTCCGTTTCCGTATAATCATCAGTTCATCAGCTCATCAGTCATCAGCATCTCAGTTTTCTTCTCACTGTAAAGCATTGCACTTTAATCTCAGACGGCGATATGTATGCGGTGAAACAACCTGCCATTGATGCTCTTAAGTCAACCGCGGCCGTTGACCGCCGGGTGAACGGGTCCGGGAACTACATCAGGGTCGGGAAGGCCCGGGTGCCCAGTTCCGGGACACGGGTCTATAGGCACGGATCAGTGAGAGCCGTGATCAGCGGCGGAGATAAGGCGTCCGTAGAGGCTGCGACGCCATTGCAGAGCAAAGGCGTTAATGGGTTGTCTTCTTCTTCTTCTTCTTCTTCTGTAGGTGGAGAGATCCAGGTGAAAGCGGTGGTGACGATCAGGAAGAAGATGAAGGAGAAGATCATAGAGAAGATTGAGGATCAGTGGGAGTTCTTTGTCAATGGGATTGGACAGGGGATTCGGATTCAGCTCATCAGTGAGCAAGTTGATCCTGGTAATTACTTTAAGTATTTTCTTAATCATTACTTTTTAAAGATTTGGTGTTGCTTAAATTTAATTCGCTTTAATTATTTACTATTCTCTTAATTACTACTAATTAAATATTCTAACTTTTTTGCTTCCTTTTAAATCATTTTATATGTTCTTTAATGGGTAGGGAATAATCATTATGTGTGTTCTTTGTATGATTTAATTTGTCCATTTTCTGTTTATTTTTACATTTTTAGCGCCAAAAAGTGTGTTTTATTTGCTCTGTAAATTCCGTTTCGTACTTGTTCTGTTTTGGCATTGTGTTTCCTAATTTGGAGCAGTTTGATTAACCTTTGTTATTTGTTTTTACAGTTACAAATGCAGGAAAGAGTGTCCAATCCGCCGTGAGAGGGTGGCTGCCAAAGCGGGTGCCTTTGGAGTATGCAAACATTGTTGAATATGCTGCTGACTTCAAAGTCCCATCCGACTTTGGCTGTCCTGGGGCAATTATGGTTTCCAATCTGCAGGGCAAAGAGTTCTACTTGTTAGAGATTGTCATTCATGGTTTCGACGGAGGCCCCATTTTCTTCCCTGCAAACACTTGGATCCATTCACGCAAAGATAATCCGGAAAGTAGAATTATCTTCAAAAATCAAGTACGAATCGTTGCTTTTGTATCTCAGATTTTTACGGAAGTAAATATTGCATGAATAATCTTGCAAGAGATATGCTTTACATTATCTTGTTGTTGTAAACAGGCATGTCTTCCTGCACAAACACCGCCGGGCCTTAAAGATCTTCGACATGAAGACTTACTCAGCATTCGGGGTAATGGGAAAGGCACGCGAAAGGAACATGATAGAATCTATGATTATGAAATTTACAATGAATTGGGAAATCCTGATAAGAGTGAAGATCTGGCTAGGCCGGTCCTTGGTGGCGAGGAGAGGCCTTATCCTAGGCGCTGTAGGACTGGCCGTCCTCCAACGAAGACAGGTGTGTATATGTTCTTTCTCTATATTGGTTAGTGTAAGTACAATTTTCCATATTGCATTCATTTTGGAGCATTGACATCTTACTGTGCTGATTTGATGGCATTCGAACAGATTCTCTTACCGAAAGTAGAATCGAAAAGCCTCATCCAGTTTATGTGCCTCGGGATGAGACTTTCGAGGAAATTAAGCAGAATGCTTTCTCCACTGGAAGATTGAAGGCTTTGCTTCACAATCTCATACCATCTCTTGCTGTTACATTGTCAAGTACAGACAATCCTTTCGAGTGCTTCTCTGATATAGATGACCTATATGTTGATGGTGTCCTCATGAAATGGAAAGAGGAGGAGAAGAAAGAAGGCAAGAAACTGTTTCTGGGCAGCATGGTGAAAGAGGTTTTTTCCGCTGGAGAAAGGTGGTTGAAATACGAAATCCCCGCTGTTATTAAAAGTAAGTGCACATTTTCTCCTTCTATCCTTAATCTTTTCCCTTGTTTTGTAAGATTGGAAGCTCCAAAATGCATCAGTTTAATTCCGTCTTGAATCTCACTTCTTTCTCCTGTTGTTTAATTTGTGTGGCTAGTGGATAGATTCTCGTGGTTGCGCGATAATGAATTTGCACGCCAAACTTTAGCTGGGGTCAATCCAGTCAACATTGAGATTTTGAAGGTAACTTACAAACAAATCCTTTGTAATCTACTCTCTACTTTTAAATCAAATGCCCTTTTGAGAGTCCTGAAGTTGGGTTCTATTTCACAGGAATTTCCGATTCTCAGCAAGCTAGATCCTGCTGTTTACGGTCCTCCCAAATCTGCTATCACAAAGGAATTGTTAGAGCAAGAAATCAATGGGATGAGTGTAGATAAGGTAATAATGTCTGAATTCCTGTTTTCTGATATATCATCTTTAGTATGAACCAACCGGAAGTGTAGAATTTTGTAACATAGAGAAATGCAAACATGCTTTTACGCAAAGGCATATCTAACAGTAACATTTTATCGTGCCAGGCGATTGAGGAGAAGAGACTGTTTATACTTGATCACCATGACACATATATGCCATTTATCGAGAGGATGAACGCCTTGCCTGGGAGAAAAGCCTATGCCTCTAGGACGGTGTTCTTCTATACCCCTACTGGTATTATGAGGCCTATAGCTATTGAGCTTTCACTTCCACCAACGGCTTCATCCCCGCAATATAAACGTGTTTATACTCACGGGCATCATGCTACTACACATTGGATTTGGAAGCTAGCCAAAGCTCATGTTTGCTCAAATGATGCTGGCATTCATCAACTAGTCAATCACTGGCAACTAGACTTCAAGCCACCAAGATAATGGCCGTACAAGATACGCTCTCAACTCACTCCCCCGATGAAGAGTACTTGGGTCAGGTGAACCCGCTGGAATCCCATTGGATCAACGATGATGAAGTTATGAAGTTGTTCAATAGATTCTCTGACAGACTCAAGGAGATAGACCAGACAATTAACCTACGAAACAAAGATAGCCATCTTAAAAACAGAAGCGGAGCTGGCATTCCACCATACGAATTGCTGCTTACCACCTCAGGCCCTGGAGTAACTGGCCGCGGAATCCCCAATAGCATTTCTATTTGATAGCTTTGCTCGGATCAATGTTTTGGTATGTTCCTTTTGTTTCACTCTGTCGGAAGCTTGTACGCTCAAGCGATTAGCTTCTTAATCAATAAACAATGTGCAGTTTTAGCTTGTTTATAAAACTAGTGACAGATCTGTGATCATTGTAGGACTGTTTGTGTTTAAATCGCAAATACTTTAGAATGATGAACAATCTTTGCTTGGTGCTCAAGTATTGTATTTACTTTCGGTGGCAAATCTAACCTAACTTTAGAAGAAAGAAACTGGAAATTATAACTCGGATACTGTAAGTTTGATCAATACCTTCCTCAACACTTAACATTGAGCATTCTTTGGTAATCCATAGATGAATGTTACGCTTTGTGTTTTCTTATACCGCACAACCTACAAGTGATGTAAGCGAAACAGAGATCGTGTTTAACCAAGGAAGAAATAACTTGAAGTTGAATATAACTTTCCATATCAACTGACTTAATTAATGCGTGCAATGTTACACTAACTCCAAACGAATGCCACTTTCAGAGTTAACCTCGACAATCTTCGCCTCAACATTTGACATCAGCTTTCTAGTAGTTAGGTCTTCCTGGCTCACCACACTAAATAATAGAGGCGTTGTCTCTGTCATCCATACACAACCCCTAGAAAATAATCCAAAAAATAGTTTAAAAAGTCAGTTTCAACTCGAGTAATAATTCAAGAAAAAATAATCCAAAAAATAGTTTAAAAAATCAGTTTCAACTCAAGTAATAATTCAAGACGTCAAATCACCGTTTACTCCCGGATTACTCTCCCTCCTAAAATATATTGATTGGATCCCACAATTAGTAGAGAGAGAAACGGAAGGGAAGAAGAAGAAGAATGAATGCCTCTTGAGTTTAATAGAGGGGCATAACAGGAATTATAAGAGAGTGCATTGGACTCGCTTCTGAGCGAGTATGCCTAGCAATTCTCTTTAACAAAAGGTTACTCCCGGCTTTCTGATCGATGCGCACACTGCCTCAACTAACAAAAAATTGACCAAATAAGACCAAAAAGTGACTTAAGATTGAATCAAGGGTTTGATCGGATTCTCATTGATTAAGCTCCTAACCAAAAAATCTACTTACTTTCCTACTTTTGCCACCAAAATCTCAACTGGGTAATCACCATTTTCACTCCAAACCCATCAGAATCCCAGCTTTAACCTCCCTAATTAAGCTCCTAAGTAGACTCCTACTCCTCCATGGCGGACCCTCTAAAAGGAGAGGATCCGCCTTCCCAACTCACCCTTCTTCTCGATTCAAATCACAACAACCGTCACCAAGCACCAGAAGGAGAATGCAAAGATACCCAATTGGACCAGACCCTCCAACGGCTAGAAACGTTTCTCACTCTATTGGGCTTCAGTCAATCTTCTTGGTTGAGGCTTGCGCTGTCCTGGACTGCTCTGGTTCTTCTCGGTGTTGTTCTCCCGGTGGTGGTGCTAGAGATATTCAACTGTTCGGACTGCGACAAGTATCAGGTTAAATGGTTCGAGCTCACTATCGTGGCATCGCAGGCGGTTCTGGCGGCGGTCTCTTTGCTCTGCATCTCTCACTGTCTTCGCAAGTATGGCATTCGGAGGTTCCTCTTTGTTGATCGCTATAGTGGCCGTATCGTTCGGTTTCGAAACGATTACATCAAGCAGATTAAGGTATGATATGAAATGGTTTACTTGATAATTGTGTTGTGAACATGTTGTGTGTGCTTTGTATATCAACCGTGAATTCTTCTGTGCTCCAGTGTATGACATGCATCGAATGAATGAATTTTGGGATGTGCGGCCGAAGACCTAATAGCCATCGATGTCGGTGCATACTAGCATACTAGAACTTCCCTGTATAAACTTCAAGTTTTATGATATGAGCATAGTTGTCAGAAATGAGATAATCCAAATTTATGTTTGAACGTGAAGTTAAGGTGTCCTCTTTGGTCTGACTTCAAATTCGTTAGACCTTGTGTACAAATCTGTCATGCGTCTACTAACCCTACGGGTTAGATGGTATGCACATAATGTGCTTACCAGAATTCAGGATATTTTAGTTTCTAATTTGAGAGCTGCAGGTGAAAACATAATCGAAATCTTCCATCTTCGCTTTCTGTCAGTTTTGTATTTGTTTACCAATGCTGATTAGGCATAGCACACACTAACTGCAGCCTGCAAATATTGGAATAACGAACCAAATTTAGAGTACTTGTTGCCAGTATTAACTATGTCATTTCTTTATTTTAACTTTTATAGACATTTTTTGCCAGAGGCTTCCAGTGGTTAATGTGCTAAGAATTTTCCTTGGGTATCGTATCTTTGCAGGATTCTTTACGTCTGCTGATTTGGTGGGCACTGCCATGTTTTCTTTTGAAAACTCTGCGAGAGGTCATCCGCATGATATATGTCCGTCACGAGTCATGGTGGCTGTCATTTGCTGTATTAGTAGCTTTGGTTCTATCATGGGCTTATGTGAGTACAATCACTCTAACAGCTAGCATTTTGTTTCACTTGGTCTGCAACTTGCAAGTTATCCACTTTGATGATTATGGAAGGCTCTTTGAAAGGGATTCTAATGTGTTGCTATTTATGGAGGAGCATATTCGCCTGCGGTATCATCTCCATAAAATAAGCCATAGGTTCCGGATCTTCCTTCTTGTGCAGTTTATAATCGTCACCACAAGCCAGTTTGTGACTCTACTCGAGCTCACAATATACAGTGGAAAAATCACTGTCATAAACAGTGGCGATTTTGCAGTAAGTTCAATACTTTCCATGTATCTACTTCTCGGTTGATTAACTTCTCACTCTTACAGGCTTAGATTTAAAACCATATTGGATTCCCCCTTTTAAGACTGGACCTCTCTGAAAACTCTCTAATCATCATTGACTGCAGACTAAAATTCAGTGCATTAAATTTCCTTCCTCTTTTTACTTCAAATATTCAGGTCTCCACAATTGTTCAGGTTGTCGGCATTACTATTTCCCTGCACGCAGCTACTAAAATTTCTGGTAGAGCCCAAGGTATAACGACAGTTGCCAGTAGATGGCATGCGTTAATGACATGCAGTTCTAACAATTCATCTCACCACAGAAGTTCAGACAGTTTGATGAACTTTGAGGCCGCCAACAGATTGAGTTCACTGCATATAAGTTACTCTGAGAGTGATTTTGAGTCAGCAGATTATGTTCACGTGCCTACAAATTCTCAGCTGGCTTCACATATGGCTTCATATCACAAGAGACAAGCTTTTGGTATGCATCAGCTTATGCTGTTTCAGTTGTTCCCGTTCATTTCAAACCTTAAATTTCGAGCATTCTGTTTACCATTTTTGTGTTTGAAAAGAAGGCGCTTCGATCATCTTGTATTACTTGCTGCATGGTATATATGGCTTTCGTTTTATTCATTTCCCGTAGTTCAGCCTTACTGATTATTTATTGTGGCTCATGCTCTATCCCTTTCTGCAATGCAGTGTTATACTTGCAAACCAATCACGGGGGCATAACGATTTTCGGATGGATGGTCGATAGAGACCTCCTCACCACGATCTTTTTCATCGAACTGTCTCTGATTACCTTTGTTCTTGGACAGACAATAGCTTTTTCGTCCACTTGATCCGTTCATCTGTCCTGGTTTGCACCTTCATCTCTTCCATTATTTACCCATGAAATCCTTAGAAAGCTGTTTGCGTAACGATGTGGTTCTGTGAAGTGTACAAGGGTATGTGGAGGGGGAATAACTGAGGCTTCTTTTAGTCCGGGAAAGTACGCCATGGAGGTCAGCTCTGCAGCCTACAAGGAGTATGTGGAGGTTTGACATGGAGTCATTACCACCTGACCTTGCGGCTTGAAGCTTGTAAATGAGCCTTAAGACGACTTGCCGTGAGGCCGTCGAGGGAGGCAGTCATGTCCTCGTCGTTCTTGGTCATCTTCGCCAGAGCCCTGCTGGCGTCCTTGCCGGGAACATTGCGAACGGCCCGCCGGACCGTAAACGACTTGCCGTCCGAGACGTCGAAGACGCGGCCTTTGAGCGCCATTGTATATCGTGTTCGATGGGTCAGTGCCGTTGTACTGGATCAGCTGCTGCGCTGTGAACACCATCGCCGTGTTGGCGAGGGCGAAGATGGTAAATATGAAGACTTTGGAGGTTGTTGGGTATCGGAGTAGATGAATGCTCCAATTGTCGATGGTCTGATTTTTAAGTTCTTCGCCCACCAAAAATTAAATTGCAGATTTTTTTAGCGACGTTTTGAATTAAACGCCACGTTTTGAATTAAACGTCTCGTTTTGAAGTGTCGTAAACTAAACATTTATTCTTTTTGTAAATTTAATTAAACATTTTCTCTACAATTTGGGTACTTTAATTTTATTTCATTAGAAGTCTGTTTATGTTAGCATTCCCTTTTTTCCTCTTATTTTTATGCATCTCTTATTTTAATAATTTGAGTTTTTTTTATTAAAATATTTATTTTAGTAAATTAAATAGAATGTAACAAAACTCGTTGTTAGGTATGTTTGATTATAATGGTACATTTAATTACTTGGTACATTTGAATTTTTTGTCCATTTGGCTTCTTGGTACATTTGAATTTTTGATACATTTAGTTTTTTTGTACATTTGAATTTTTGGTACGTTTGTTTTCAAAACATAAGTTTATTACTTTTTGTTCTAATAATAAGGAATTGCTTTAATTAATTATTATTATTTTTATAGAAAGAGTTGATAACAATGTGAAAGTTTAAATTACTTTAATTAATTATTTTTTCTTTCCGGAAAGAGTCATTAATCAACGCATAATAACCTTTTTGTTAATTCAAAATTATATGATTTATCGTTATTATTTAGCATTATCTCCAATAATAAGGAATTATCTCCGATCAACTAAAAGTTGTTCCAGAGACTTATCTACCAAAAAACAAGACTATCTAGAGCATTGTCTATGAATCAAACATATTTTTAAACGTTCCAAAAAGATGAATATTCATTTTAATATAGTTTATCATTGGGTACGTTTTAATTCAGGGTTGGTACATTTGTGTTTGACGTTGGCACGTTTTCATTTAATGTTGGTATGTTTCCATTTGGCGTGGGTGTACATTTAGATTTGAAAAGTTTAAATTTTTAAACTTAAATATAATTGAAATTATTTAAAATATATAGCAAATATTTAAATGTAAATTAATTTCAATTAATCTGAAGTTGTTCAAGTCTGAGTATCTTAATCAAATGTTTCAAAAACTTAATCAAAAATTCAAAAAGCATAAATGTTTAGTCTACAAAAGTCTAAAATGAGACATCTAATTCTAATTTTCTCATTTTTTTATTAGTGAAAAAAATTAACGGTGGATATGACAGTGATTTGGATGGGTACTGGATAGGCAAGTTGGAATTTCCCCTTCTGTAAATTAATACATAAGAATATTATTAATATTTATGATATTTTTAGCCGGTTTGCCCGGTCTGACCCGGTTCAGCCTGTCCAACGGTCGGTTCATTCGGTCCGACCCTTTTTCCCAGTTTGACCGTTCGCCCGGTTCGGACGGTTCAAATAATTTGTTTTTGAATAAAATCATATTTCAGAACCACAGAAGTCGAACAGCAATCCTCAACCCCCTCCCTCTCTCTCAAATCAAGATAATCTCTGTCTCTCAAACCGCTTCGAAACCCTAATCCAACTCTCGTGCTTTGTTGACAAGAATGGCAGCAAAGTTGGTTCTCTGCATCTTGTTGTCTTTTGAATCTTTTGTATAACATTACTCCTATCCCGTCCAATAAAATTTTAACTCAAGCAAAATAGCACGAATCCATAAAACACTTGCAATGTTTAATATTTACACTCCCAACTCTTCAATCCTGAGTTGATCGGCCATGGACCGTTGACGGTTCGTTTTTTTTAATGGAATCGGCTTCGACCCTCTTAGGGTATTTCGTCTCGCTGATTCTGAATGCACTCTACTTCTCCAAATTTAATTGTTTCCATAGGACCATAGAGTTTTTGCTAATGGGTTATTTTATATGTTTAGATGCTAGCAGTTCCAGAAGCTCTAGAGGACAGCCAGCTGGAGGATTAGGGCTTCATTGACAACCACTGAGTGGACTTTTATTTCAGAAATGATTTCTTTATCAAATATTAAGCATGCCTAGATAAATATAAATTTCAGTTACTTTTTATGAGTTACACGGACTTTGTGATTTCCTACCAGGCCTTATAATTTATCATGATTACGATTTTATGAATGTTGATTTTCCCTAGTCTTACTTATCGTATTTTAATTTTTAAGCGTACACTTACATAGTTTCAGAGTATTGTACTAGTTCACAGTCGTAGAACACAGCTTGCACGTGTATGAGTTATATTCCAGTATTTCAACTTTTCCGAGTGCTAGTGTTTGATTACACTAGTATTTGGACAAGCTACGGCTAGTGTATGATTACACTAGCTAGACTAATACTAGTGTATGATTACCTTTCAACTTACACGTGTATTGGGGTACATATTTGTACTCTCAACTTGTCATCATCTCGAGGTTAATTAGTAATGACATGCATATATTTTCAATTTACACTAGCAATGACAAGCGTATAATTATGTCTTCAACTCTTCGATTCTTCGAGTCATGGGAATCCCATATAGATTATGACCTGAATCCAATCGATTCTTTTTTTTAATCTTACACTAAAAGTAACTAGTGTATGATCTTGTATGCTATACTACCGATAAGTAAAGCTCAGTATAACGTATATGCTTTTCAGTTTTCTTGGGATGCTTAGTTTTCAGAAAGGGTCACCATGCCAAGCAAAACGAGCCGTGGCCTGAACGTAATACAAAAGAAGCCTAATCTGGTATACTTAAAAACAGAAGCGGAGGTGGCATTCCGCCATATGAATTGCTGCTTCCCTCATCAGGCCCTGGGGGTAACTGGCTGCGGAATCTGCAGGCTGGTGTCGATGTTGTGAAAAGCTCGTACGCGCAAGCATATTAGCATTTTAATCAGTATACAACATTTGTGCAATCAAATGAGTAGTGTGAATAAAGCTGCAGTCCTTTTCATACTTTGAAGTAATGAACCATCTTTGCTTGGAGGCGAAGCAATTGATCGTACTTACATTCGAGAGCTTAAAATATAAACACGCACCAGAAGAAAGAAACTGGAATTCATAACTTGGATAATGCAAGCTTGATTAGTTCCTTCCTCAACACTTTTCCCTGCACATTCTTTGGTATTGCATTGATGAATGCTACGCGTCGTATCTTCTTATATGGCGCAACCTGTAATTGATGATGCAGTACCGTACATTAACATTGGTAAAACCGTAAAAGCATCGTTTTAATGGTAGTTTGATCATGATAATAGTCTGAGGATTACCTGTTTTGCAATAAAATCCTTGATCTGTGATTCATCAATGGCGCTTCCGTGGTTCCTCACGACGAAGGCCATGGGTACTTGACCTGCTTCCTCATCTGGGTACCTGTCCATCATTTTCCATTCACCCAAACACAAACTCCATGAGCTTTTTACACGCAAAGCTCGAACTCAAATCACACTCAAAACAATTGAGTAAGTTACATACGGAATCACAGCTGCATCAACAATGTCTGGATGGGAGTGAAGCAGATCCTCCAACTCCGCCGGGGCAACCTAATGCAAAAATACGCACTCCCATTGAAGCGAAGAAGAAAACGAGTGTTTGGTTAAAGGGTGAATTTGGAAGGTGCAGAGGTGGCAAACCTGGTAGCCTTTGTACTTGATCAATTCCTTGATTCGATCGACGAAATATAGAAAACCTTCATTGTCTATGTAGCAAATGTCTCCAGTTTTTAACCATCCTTCCGAGTCCAAAGTTGTGGCAGTTGCATCTTCATCACCAACGTAACCTACACTAATTGAAGTAATCACCACCACCCATCAAAAGTATTCTACTGTCGATTTTCGGTTGCATTGGTAATTCATTGTCAATTTCTCCCCTAAAATTGTACTCCACTGTCGATTTTTCATTTCAATATTGTAGTTCGAAAGTATTTTTTGAGCAGAACGTCCGTTCTTGTTGTTAAATGTAGATTTTCTAATGCTATTTTAAAACCCCGTAATAAATACTATGTGAACGTCAACATTACCTTTCATAACGTATGGTCCTCTAACCCAAACTTCCCCATGCATCAAAGGAGGCAGGGCAGTGCCAGTCTCAGGTTCCACAATCTTGACCTCAATATCTGACGTAAGCCTTCCATTAGCTCCTTCCACTCGGGTTTCTTCCGGGCCCACCGGGCCACATACTCGGCCCGTCATCTCCGTCATCCCATATCCCTGCACAGCCCACCACACGGCCCAAAGTTGGACAAAACGACAACACATAATTTTTGTTGGACAAAAACGACAACACATTAAACGTCGTTAAACCCATCTGAAAATTACACTTCATTGCACCAACCTGTGGGACTTGTACGTGGGGCAGCCACTTCCTCAGCTTCTCGATCACACTCTTCGCCAGCGGAGCGCCGCCGCAGCCGATCACTTGCAGGGAGCTCAAATCGTAGCTGCCCATCACGTTTATGTCCCCGTGCTTCAACAAGGCCACGACCACAGGCGGGGCACAGGCCACGTCGGTGATTCGGAACCGCTCGATGGATCTCATCATCACCTTCAAATCGAACCTTCCCATGAACGCCAGCGTGTCCCCCGTCAACAAAACTATGAAGCAGTACGCGAACCCGTACGAGTGGAAAAACGGCACCGTACAGAGACACACAGCGTGTGGAGCGGACGCGTTTCGAACGGCGTGGATGCCCGCCATCATCCATATCCAGTGCCGGTGAGTAAACTCCACGCCTTTGACCCTCCCGGTGGTCCCCGATGAGTAGAGAATCGTAGCGGTGTCCGATTGGCTCACTTCAATTCGAAGCGATTCGGCCGAACTTGGCAGGTCATCATCATGGACTCGAACTCGGCCGAGTCGAGGAGGATGGTCCCAAGGCGGAGGGAGTTAGGAATTTTGTGAGCGGTGGCAGTGGTGGCGAATGCGACGGTGGGTCTGCATATGCTGATTTGGTGGGAGATTTCGGGATTGGAGCTGGCGGGGTTGGAAGGGGAGACGATAACGCCGAGGGAGAGGAGAGAGAGGTGGAGGATGGGGAGGTGGAGGGAGTTGGGAGAGAGAACGAAGGCGCATTGGCCGTGGGAGAGGCCGAGCTGGGATTGAAGCGAGGCGGCAAGGGTTCGGACTCGAAAAATGAACTCGGGGTAGAAAATATGGTGGCCGGTGGCGGCGTCGAGGAGGGCGGGAGTGGAAGGCAGGGGAGGGGAGTGGTGGAGGCGGGAGAGGAGGTAGTGGGTGAGGGAAAGAGGCGTGGTTTGAGGAGGGGGTTGGGATCTGGGTCTCAGGCTGTGGAAGGTCTTGGTCTTTGAGCAAAACCCACTCTTTGGATCAATACTGCTGCCCTTCTCTTGAGTCGCCATTATTGTTTCAGTTGTTTGAGGTTGAGGAGGTTTCAGGATTTGAATTGGATATGGAGGTATTAAAATAGATGTTTGGAAAAATAACCACAATTTAAAACCACTTAAATTATTAAATTTATTATAATTACAACTAAAATTCGATTTAAAAATACTAATATACCTTTAATAACTAAAAATATAAAACAATTGAAATTTTCCCTCGTTCGATTAAACCCGGTGGCCAAAATGACGTCGGGGCAAAAGTAAAGCCTTTTTTCGAGGGATTGTCACTGTGAAAACTTGTCTGTGGTGTATGATTTTTCAATATGTTATTCTTATCAGCCAAAAGATCATCAGTGCCACCAACCCAGCAGAACCTGCCCCTAGAACCATTCGTGGTGACCATGCAATTGAGATTGGCAGGAACATCATTCATGGAACTGACTCAGGTGAGAGTGCAAGGAGGAGATTGCACTGTGGTTCCCCGATGGTCCTGCTAACTGGCAGTGCAGCGTTCAGTACTGGATCTATCGATGAGAAAAGCACGTCCGACTAGTCCACCGGCTGCTGTCCATCGTCATATTTACTTTCCAGATTAGTCTTTTAATGAACTTGTTAGGTTTTGACTTTTTATTTTGAGTGTGACAAATACCTATTTTCTCAGAACCGTAGGCTTGCTACGCAGTGCTGGGCTTGCTTTGAAAAGGATATGGTGGGTAGGGCCGAGGGCTCTGTAGCATGACAAAAGGGCAGTGAAAGTGGTTTCCCCAACCAAAAAAACAAAAAAAAGAAAAAGGAAGTGAAAGTGAGAGAGAGTAATTAGTGTTTTAATTGAACCCGAATTCTTTTTGGATTCTCATTGTTAAGATCATGGAAATTTAATAATCGTATCTGTTCGTTGCATATCGTACGATCGAAAATCATTTTATATTTTTTTTATTTAAAATTAAATACAAACAATACCTGATGAAACTAACAATATGATATATGTTCGAAATCTTCTCAAAGAAATCCAGAGAGGATCTGTTGGTTTTAATTCGAAGGTATTTTGAAATTGGACAAGGATTGTCTGCCCTTCCACTTCCGGTGCTTTCTTGTTTTGTGTGATCACGGTTAAACCATGTTAACATTTTATATTATTTTTTTATAGAGATAACAAGATAAAAATAAATAATAATATAAAATATTAACATAGTTTAATCATGACTATACAAACAAGAGAGCACGGGCAATGAAAGGGCAAACAATCCTTGTCACTTGGGCATTTGGTTTAACTTTATTCGGAATTGTATGAAGTATAGTGGGCTAAAATACAAAAAGTAGTGCTTTATTGCGTTTGTGATTTGTCCATTAAGGTCACGTGTAAGTTTCCACTGATAGTAGCTAAAATGTCACTTTCACTAAATATATTTAAACTCTGCGTGTGGGTCCGGTGTGATGTTCTTGTCCTCAGTATACACGTGTTATATAAACGATATTAAAAATTAGAAAAGAGCGAGAGAGTTTGGATTAGGTTTCTCCTGAACTAAGGATGAGAATCCTCTTGACCAAACTCATCGGACCGTTAAAATTTTATCCAATAGTTACAATTATTATGACTTTTAGAGAAATCCTCTGTTCGTAGTCGTTGAATAAAATTTCAATAGCCCGATAAGCTTGGTCAAGAGGATCCTCACCCTTAGCTCAGGAGAAGATCCTGATCCAGAAATTTTGATTTAAACTGTTTGTAGTAAGTTGAAGAAAAATATTTTAACAATTAAGGCAATCTATCACTTGTTAATTTACAGATACATAAATACATTTTTTTTAAATTAGTATTATTAGAGAGAGAAAGATTTGAAACTGTTACATTGTATAAGAGATTAGAGAAATGTTTCGAACCTCAAATACGTGGATAGAAACCCAAAACTATTAATATATTATCAGATAATAACACCCAACACTTAACCCCTCAATTGATAGACCTTTTTTCCACCTTGAAAGCAATTGGTTATGCTCTTTGTTATATATTATTTTCTTAAATCATACGAATGATTGATAGTAGGATATTACTAGCATTCGCTCCTTAAGGGATATATATATTGGGAATAACGTATATTAATCGTATTTTAGAAAGGGAGTGTGTGGGAGTTGTTTATTTTAAGAATAGGCTAGATACAATCAACTGCATTTTTTCGTTATAACTCGAAAAAAAAAAGGTGCATGATTCCGTGAATTTCTTCTAGAAAAAAAAAAAATTTATCAATTTCATAATCGGAACTGACAATTTCTTAATCTTCATTAGAAGACCGTCACTATGCAAAATTATTTCAATCACATATCATTTAGTAGTTCAAATATATTGAGCAAATCAACAGTATATGTACCAAGTAACATATTCATAACGAACTGTCCATTTGTCTGACACGTTTGGATGAATCTTCATGATTTTTTAAAGAGTGATTTTCAAAGGAAGATTAATAAATTGAACGATTTGATTGTGGATTTTATTCGGTCAAGATATCTTATTCGCAAATGGAGGGATATGTGTATCCCCACATTGGGGGATGCAAGTATTATCCTTAATTGTATGCGAATTTGGAGAGATGAGTTATAACTTGTAGGATAATACTTGCCTTCCTCAAATGGGGGAATGGTGTGGGGGATGCATATATTATATCATTCGCAAATAATGTTTCTGCACCATATAAACTTTATAATCAAACGTTCAATTTATATATATTCATTTTAAGATCATTTTGGATAAAAATGTTATTCCAATTGGAGATCATTTAGTTATCCAAATGTATCAAATAAATGGACGATTCATCTTGAATATGTTAGTTAGTACTCAAACCGTCGCTTTCTCCTATAAATTTGGATGACTAAACTATCTTGATTCAAATGATTTTTTGTAAAGATGATCATCAAATGAAGATTAACAACTTGAACAGCTTCGATTATGAAGTTTATATGTTAAAGTTACGTTATTTTGAATGGTGGAATGTGTGCATTCCTGATCTGAAAAACACAATTATTACCCTCACTTATATGATCCAATTTACAACTGTGTGACCTTTCATTTAATCAGTTTTTGTGAAAGATGAGTGAAGGGTTTCGCAAAATATTAGCTTAGAGAGGCGGGTGAATGCCTTTCTCAAATATTATGGAAGTGTTTATAAAATAGCTGAAACCGTTTTTGATAAAAATATATTTGAAACTAGTCCTTAATAAAAATGCAAATAAAATTTGAAAAAATCACTTAAAGTGTTTCTCGAAAAAAATACTTAACTGGTGCTTCTTATACATGCTTTTGGAATTCAAAAATAATTTCTTTAAAAACGTTTTCAATCATTTGAAAGATACTTCAAAACGAGCCCTTAATATTATAAATCTAGTTTTTCTTGTTAATTTGTTTGGTGGATAGTGCCAATATGTTGTTTAAAAGTAGAAATTAGAAAGACAAAAGTTGTAAGCACAAAACGGATCGGGACTCGAGATCCTATCACAGCCGTTTCAAGTCCATATTATTCTCAAGCACACCAAAAGAAGAGTCCAAAATCTTTGTAGCCCATGGATCAGGATCCTCTCCTGATCTAAGGATGAGGATCCTCCTGATCAAAAATGGTGGGCCGTTGGATGAAAATCCAACGATTATAATTATTATAACTTTAAAGGGACCCCCTATTTGTAGCCGTTGGATTTTCATCCAACAGCCCACACTCCTTGGTCAGAAGGATCCTCATCCTTAGATCAGGAGAGAATCCTAATCCTGTCAAACTCCAAGCCATCAATATAGGCAAACTAATTATTTTTAATAAAGGCTCTTATGATTAAAATAAATAAATAAAAGAAAAGGTAATAAGGAAAAAAAAGAGATGGTGATCTTCTTGTAAAGAGTAATGCTAAGGACACTAAATTTATAGACAAAGTTTTAAAAATTAAAGGATATAAAAGTTGATTGGTTATCATTTAAACGTTGATAAACGTGCTCATTCTTATTGGTGACACATTATTTAGTTTGTAAATTTAGTCTTCTTAGCATTATCCTTTTGTAAATAAGTTAATATTTATGGTCGTATTGTAAACAAAATGAAGTAAAAAAAAAATTTCATGCATAAACAGTCAGTGTCACTAAAGTATAACTTATTTACGAAAACCCTACCGCCTTTTTTTAGTGTTGCTAAGCCAACCCTAGTGTCTTATCCATTCACTTTGAAATTATAATTCTATTGACAAATTCATCCTTGTATAAATGACCTTCAAAAACCTAAAAATCAACCAATCATGTCTTGCCACGTAATTATTAGTTATATAGGAAAAAAAAAAAAACCTAAAATATCTTAAGTGAGAAAAGGGGAAAATTATCATAAGCCCCTCCAACGGTAATTGGTGTTTCTGGAACAATATGGATACCTAACATATTTTGAATTTGAAGGAATCTGATGTTAGGGAAAAGCCAGAGCAACACCAAACTATGGATGAAGCTCTTCCAATCGCAACTAGCGTGAATGAAGCTGCAGTCTTTACATACATTGAAGTAATGACTATCTTTGCTTGCTGGCCAAGCAATTAATCGTATTTACACTCGGGAGCTTGAAATATAAACTAACACCAGAAGAAAGAAACTGGAATTCATAACTTGGATAGTGCAAGTTTGATTAATTCCTTCCTCAACACTTTTCCCTGCGCATTCTTTGGTATTGCACCGATGAATGTTACGCGTCGAATCTTCTTATACGGCGCAACCTGCAAGTGATGCAGCACGGTGAAATTAAAATTGGTTAAACCGTAAAACATTAGTTTCTATGAGAGTTACCTGTTTCGCAATGAAATCCTTGATCTGTGATTCATCAATGGCACTTCCAAGGCTCCTCACGACGAAGGCCATGGGTACTTGACCTGCTTCCTCATCTGGGTACCTGTCCATAATTTTCCATTAACCCAAACACAAACTCCATGAGCTGTTCGCACACGCGAAGCTCGAACTCAAATCATAATCAAAACGGTAGAGTAAGTTACGTACGGAATCACAGCTGCATCGACAATGTCTGGATGGGAGTGAAGCAGATCCTCCAACTCCGCCGGGGCAACCTAATGCAAACATACGCAGTCCCATTGAAGAGAAGAAGGAAACAAGTGTTTGGTTAAGGGTGAATTTGGAAGGTGCAGAGGCGGCAAACCTGGTAGCCTTTGTACTTGATCAATTCCTTTATTCGATCGACAAAATATAGAAAACCTTCATTGTCTATGTAGCAAATGTCTCCAGTTTTTAACCATCCTTCTGAGTCGAAAATTGCAGCAGTTGCTTCTTCGTCACCAGTGTAACCTACATTAATTAAAATAATCACTACCACCCATCAAACATGAACTACTACTTCACTATAAATTTCCCGTTAATTCACTATCAGGTTCTTCCCTAAACTTGCATTCCACTGTCGATTTTTCGTTTCAATATCATGGATCGTAAATATTTTTCATGCAGGATTTCCATTCTTATTGTCAAATGTAGTTTTTCTAACGCTATATCAAAAGTCCGTTGTGTAATAATAAAGAAAGAACGTCATGTCCAAATAAATGCCATGTGAATATCAACATTACCTTTCATAACGTATGGTCCTCTAACCCAAATTTCCCCTTGCATCAAAGGAGGCAGGGCACTCCCGGTCCCAGGCTCCACAATCTTGGCCTCAATATCTGACATCAGCCTTCCATTAGCTCCTTCCACTCGGGTTTCTTCCGGGCCCAGCGCGCCAAACACTCGGGCCGTCGTCTCCGTCATCCCATATCCCTGCACAGCCCACCACAAGGCCCAAAGGTGGCCAAAACGACAACACATTAAACGTCGTTAAAACTTAAACTCAACGACAATATGTACACATCACGTCCTAACCTGTGAGACTTGTACGTTCCGCAGCCGCTTCCTCAGCTTCTCGACCACACTCTTCGCCAGCGGAGCGCCGCCGCAGCCGATCACTTGCAGGGAGCTCAAATCGTAGCCGTCCATCTCGTTTATGTCCCCGTGCTTCACCAAAGCCACGACCGCCGGCGGGGCACAGGCCATGTGGGCGATTCGGAACCGCTCGATGGATCTCATCATCAGCTTCAAATCGAACCTTCCCATCCACGCCAGCGTGTCCCCCGTCACCAAAACTCTCAGGCAGTACGCGAACCCGTACACGTGAAAAAACGGCACCGTACAGAGACAAACAGCGTGTGGAGCCGATGGGTTTCGAACCGCGTGGATGCCGGCCATCATCGATATCCAGTTCCAGTGAGTCAACTCCACGCCTTTGACCCTCCCGGTGGTCCCGGATGAGTAGAGAATCGTGGCGGTGTCTGATTGCCTCACTTCAACTCGAAGCGATTCGGTCGAACTCGGACAGGTCATCATCATGGACTCGAACTCGGCGGAGTCAAGGAGGATGGTCCCGAGGCGGAGGGAGTTGGGAATTTTTTGAGCGGTGGCGGAGGTGGCGAATGCGACGGCGGGCCTGCATATGCGGATTTGGTGGGAAATTTCGGGACTGGAGCTGGCGGGGTTGGAAGGGGAGACGATGACGCCGAGGAAGAGGAGAGAGAGGTGGAGGATGGGGAGGTGGAGGGAGTTGGGGGAGAGAACGAATGCGCATTGGCCGTGGGAGAGGCCGAGCTGGGATTGAAGCGAGGCGGCGAGGGTTCGGACTCGAAAAATGAACTCGGGGTAGAGAATATGGTGGGCGGTGGCGGCGTCGAGGAGGGCTGGAGTGGAAGGCAGGGGAGGGGAGTGGTGGAGGTGGGAGAGGAGGTAGTGGGTGAGGGAAAGAGGCGTGGTTTGGGGAGGGAGTTGGGATTTGGGTCTCAGGCTGTGGAAAGTCTTGGTCTTTGAGCAAAACCCACTCTTTGGATCAATGCTGCTGCCCTTCTGTTGAGTCGCCATTTTTGTATCAGTAGTTTGAGGTTGAGGTTTCAGGATTTGGATTGGAAATGGAGGTATTAAAATTGGGTTTGGATATAAGTAGGTAATTGAGTTTGTGATTTGTCCAATAAGTCGTCACGTTTTAGTTTCTAGCGATGGTAGGTGAGAGAGAGAGAGTACAAAATTTCACTATCAGTAACTCTATCGTAAACATGTGTTATAATATTACAAGGAGGGGATTTGCTACCGAAACTAAATTTACAAATTACACGCAAAATGTCACCAATAATAAATAAACATATTAATCAACACTTAAGTAATAATTCAATCATGAACTTCCACGCCGTTTAGTTTACAAAGTTTAGTCTGTACATTTAATCTTCCTAACATTGCCCTGTTACAAGACAACATTAAGAAATAAGAAAAGACATGAAGATTTTAATCTGAAATAATTGTAGTAGGTTGAAGAAAGATGCTCTAACCACCAAGATAATCTACCACTTTAACATATGATTAAGGAGGGGCGAAGATTCGAAACTATTAGATTGGCATACTATTAGATTGGCATAGGAGGCCATACGAAAGTTTCAAATGCAGAACATATGGGTATAAATACAAAACCATTGAGATATTAGCAAATGATAACACCCAACATCTGATCCTTCAATTAATGGAGAGATTTTTCCCAAAAGAGCTATTGGTTATGCTCTTGTTATATATTATTTCTTAAAGCATACGTAGGATTAGGGTAATACTTGCATTCCACTCTAGAGGGATGAGCTCATTTCTCTTTTTGTGAATAATGTATCTTAACTATGCAAATTTCATAACTAGAATTGTTCAATTCTTCTTCATTTGATGACCACCGTTACAAAAAACTATTTCAAGCGGAGGTCGTTTAGTCTTTCAATGTATTGAGCAAATCAACGTGTAGGTATCAACTAACATATTCATGATGAACTATCCATTTGTTTGATACATTTAGATGATTACACGACTTTCACTTCAAATGACTTTTGTAGGAGTGATCTTCAAATGAAGATTAATAAATTGAACTGTTCCAATCGTTGATTTTATTTTGTTAAGATATATTATTTGGAAATGGGAGATATGTGCATCCCTCGCATGGGGGATGCAAGTATTATCCTTGATTGTAGGCGAACTTTGAGAGAATAGTTATAACTTGCATTCACCACATGGGGGAATGCGCAAACTCAATCATTCCCAAATAATGTATCTTCACCATATAAACTTCATAATCAAAACCATTCAATTTATAAATCTTTATTTCAAGATCATTTTGGATAAAAATGTTATTCGAATATGAGATTATTTAGTTATTCAAATGTATCAAATAAATGGACGGTACATCATGAATATTTTACTTACTCAAACCTTTGATTTGTTCTATAAATTTGGATGACTAAACGATCTCTGATAATATTTTGTAGAGATAATCTTCAAATGAAGATTAATAAATTGAACGGTTCTGATTATGAAATTTTTTATATGTTGAAGATACATTATTCGAAATGGTGGAATATGTGCATTTCTCACGTGGAAAACACAATTATTATCCTAACTTATATCCAATAGACAACTCTGTGACGTATTTGTGAAATATGAGTGAAGGGTTTCCCAAACTGTTAGCCCTGAGAAATGGGTGAATCCCTTCCCCAAATTTTAATTTTCGAAACAAAATCATTAGCGACGTATTTGTCATGATTCAATTCACGTTAGTTTTGTCTTTTAGTGTAAATAATATCGTTTGTTAAAAAAAATTTAAATTAGTATTATAAATATAGTTATTTTTTAAAAATTTGTTTGGCCTATTTGTTGTTTGAAAATAGAAATTGGAAAAGACAACAGAAGAGGAGTTGAGATCACATCACAACCGTTTCAAGTCCATATTATTGTCGAGTACAACAAATTAAGAGTCCAAATCTTTGTACCCCATATCAAACTCCAAGCCCATCAATATTAGCACATATTTTTTTGGACAACTTTAACGAAAAGTTTCCGGTACTGTTTATTTTAACGAAAAACTACATTTTTACACTAAAAAGTCAATTCTGGTACTATTCACTGTACCCTTCATTCTGTTTTTGTCGTTAAAACTTAAAGTTTTTAAGTTATTTTTATTAATTTTCCTTTTTTTTTATGGAAACTTTAATAAAAAGCCTTTAAGATTAAAAAGAAATTAATGAAAATTTATTAATAACAAAAAAAAAAAAAAAAAAAAAAAAGAGGTGGTAGTATTTTAGTAAATAAGTTGAAGTTTAGTGTCAGCATTGTAAATAACTTGAGCTAAAAAAAAAGTCAATGGCATTTTTGTAAATAAGTTAAAGTGTGGGTATCGTGCACAAACAGTTGACATAGTCGTGCATAAGCAGCCGGCGTCACTAAAGTTTCACATGTTTCCGAAAATGTCACCACTTTTTTTTGTCCTTATTATTATTAAATTTTAATGAATTTTTTTTTTATTAAGAAAAAAAAGTTTGTGAGACCCTCTTCATTAATTTTTTTTTTTTTTTTTTTTTTTTTTACTAATAAGAGTTCGAATTTAGAACCTATTATAGTACAAGAAAAGATGTATCACTAAATTAAGAGCTGGTTGACATATAAAATCAACCACATGACGAAGTAAACTTGATGTATCACTAAATTAAGAGCTAGTTAACATATAAAATCAACCACATGACGAAGTAAACTTGTTAATTGTTGCCAAATGTATGTCAGTTTCCTCCAAAGAATATAACTGATGTATAACTGTTTTGGAATGAATTAACAGATTGGGCTGAGATGGGCTGGCCTAATAGTCATTGTTTGGCCCTGAATTAACAGATTGGACTGAGATGGGTTGGCCTAATAATCATTGTTTGGCCCTGAATTAACAGATTGGACCCAGCTTGGTTGTTAGTTGGCACGCTCACATCTACAAGAATGACGTAGTTAGCTTATGGTTACTCAATTTGTACGTCATGTAAGCTTTATAATTTTTAGGATCAACAAAAACGTGGATTGAAGATCATTTTGACAAGGGTAAAATTAGAAAAATTCAAACATTACAGATTTGAGCTTCAAGTTCCAAATTGGGCCTAATCTCCACTCAAGATCATGATGCATTTCGGATACACACAAAAATTGGTGATATTGTTTATGCAAAATGGTCTCAGCTTGACGACTATGAAAACATGAGCAAGGTTCTTTTTGACGAGCATTAATATGATTTTTCACATAGAGCAATGAGACGTATGAGATTTTTATCTCAAATTGTTATATGTTTGTTTTTTTTTGTTTTTTGAATTACGTTTCCAACTAGAGTAGCTAGCAACGCCAAGACTTGATGTAGGTATTAAATCATCGTTTGATGTATCAATTTGCATGGTATTGTTTTATTATTCAAATTTTTTTTATGTGTTCTAATAAATTTAATCCGTCCACTAAATAAACTTATCGTTAAATTATTGTTATTATTATTTTTAAATTATCATTATACATGGAAGATTTATCATCGTATATTATTATACTGAATCATATTATTACACGAAAATCTTTTTTCTTTATTTAAAATTCCACCCGTCTCCACCTACACCAAAAGCATCACCATCTCAATCATTTCACTTTGTCACCTCCAATCCTCCAACTCACTCAACCAAACCCCTCCACACTCCTCAACCCTCTCCCTAATCACCGATCCCCCACCAATTAATTAACCTTAAACCCCAATCAAGATCGCATAATCCTACGTGCTTAATTAGCTTAGTTGTCACATCTCATGTGTTTGAACAGCGATTGCTCTTCGTGTCCGGCTATAACTCGGCCGAACATGTTTTTTATTTGGCGGGAACATGAAGCCTTCGAGTTCGACAAAGTTGGTGTCACAAAATCTGAAAAACAAAACCATATACAAATATCATAGATCCGACACCTGTTGCGAGTCACTTTTTGTCCCTTTTGATCCCCATACCTGTCGCTCAATCATCTGTTTATCTTGCCAATAAAGAATTCCAGAACAAAAATTAAGAGGAACAGAGAAAGTGCAAAAAAGCAGATTCCAATTTTCAAGTCTCTAGGTTAAGTATATTTCTAATCGTTAAATTGACAAACAATAGGATAATTATTTTATTAAAATCGCGTTGGAAATTATGAAACTTGAGTAAAATAATTGTAATATACTGCTTTAAATAACTTCGTTAACCCGACGTGTTTCGTTTCGAAAGCAGATTCTCTGTCTTTTCACTTCTTGTGTCCTTCCGTATTTTTTTGTTTGTGTGGTCATGTTAACATTTTATATTACTATTTTTTTTTATCTTATTATCTTTATAAAAAAATAATATAAAATATTAACGTGATTTAACCGTAACCACACAAAACAAGAAAGCAAGGAAGTGTGGAAGGGCAGCGAATCTGCCTCTTTCCGTTTCGTTGTCATACGTTTGCGGCTTTCATTTTATATTGTTTTACTTTTATTTGATTGCTTCCGGAACAAATATTGAAGATTTAGGAAGGAAAAAAAAAAAAAAACCTGGGTTTGATTTCTGTTCTTTAACCCGACGACAGACTGAGCCTGTAAATTAATTTGTAAACAGCTTCCAACTTTCCTATTTAAAGCACCAAAATCTCAACTGGGTTGCCACCATTCTACCTCTAAACCCACCATAATCTCAGCTTTAAGATCAATAATTAGGCTCATAATCCTTCCATGGCGGACGTTTTTATAAAAACAGAGGAGCCACCTTCCCAACTTATCCCTCTTCTCGATTCTAATAACAATAACAACCACCACCACAACGACCCCCACAGCAACCGTCATCTGGGAGGAGAAGAAGAATACAAAGATACCCCATTGGACCAAACCCTCCAATGGCTAGAAACATTTCTCACTCTCTTGGGCTTCAACCAATCTTCTTGGTTGAGCCTTGCCCTGTCCTGGACGGCTCTGGCTCTCATCGGTGTGGCTCTTCCGGTGTTTGTGCTTGTGGTGTTCAACTGCTCCGACTGTAAGAAGTATCAGATTAAAAGGTTCGAGCTCGTTATCGTGGGCTCGCAGGCGATCCTGGCGGCGGTCTCTGTGCTCTGCATCTCACCCAGACTTCGCAAGTATGGCATTCGGAGGTTCCTCTTTGTCGATCGCTATAGCGGCCATATCGTTCGGTTTCGAAACGATTACATCAAGCAGATTAAGGTATGATCATAGCTTGAAATGATTTACTTGATTGTTTTACGAACATGCTGTTGTGCTTTTGCATTGCATACATCAACCCGGAAATTCTACTATGCTCCGGTGTATGGCATATTCGTCGGATGAGGGGAGCATTTATACTAGCATACTAGAATTTTCCATATATCAACTTCAAACGTGATGATATGGGAACTTTCAAAATTCTTCTTATATGTACATAATGTGCTTACCAAAATTCAGCATGTTTTCGTTGCTAATTCAAGGCCTACAGGCCGCAGAAAACATAATCGAAATCTTCCATCCTCGCGTTCTCTCAATTTCGCATCTGTTTAGTAATGCTCGTAGGAATAGGATATGCACCTTGATGTTACCCCTTCTGAAAGTAACCTCCCGTCGTTCACTAACTGCAGCATCCAAACACTGTCAGTCAGTTGTGTCATCTGTTTATTTGAACTTCTATGCTAAGAATTTGGCTTGGGTCATATCTTCGCAGGATTCTTTCCGATTGCTTGTTCGATGGGCACTGCCATGTTTTCTTTTGAAGACACTGCGTGAGGTCGTCCGCATGATATACGTGCATCACGATTCATGGGGGTGGGGGAAATCAGTTGGTGTATTGTTCACTTTGGTTCTATCATGGGCTTATGTGAGTACAATCACTCTAACAGCCAGCATTTTGTTTCACTTGGTCTGCAATTTGCAAGTTATCCACTTTGACGATTATGCAAGGCTCTTGGAAAGGGAATCTGATGTGCTGGTATTTATGGACGAGCATATTCGTCTGCGCTACCATCTCAGTAAAATAAGCCACAGGTTCCGAATCTTCCTTCTCCTGCAGTTCATAGTCGTCACCGCAAGCCAGTTTGTCACTCTATTTGAGACCACAGAATACAGGGGAGACATCACTGTCATAAATGGCGGCGATTTTGCAGTAAGTTCAGCGCTTTTGTGTATGTATCAGTAGATTAACTTCCCACTCTTACAAGCTTAGATTCAAACCATAACGCATTAAATTTCCCTCCTTTTTTCCCCAAAATTTCAGGTCTCCACAATTGTTCAAGTTGTCGGCATTATTCTCTCCCTGCACGCAGCGACCAGAATTTCCCATAGAGCGCAAGGCATAGTGACAGTTGCCAGTAGATGGCATGCGTTAATGACATGCAGTTCTAACGATACATCTCACAACAGAAGTTCAAACTGCTTGGTGAACCCAGAGGCTGCCGACACATTGAACTCGCTGCAAATAAGCTACTCCGAGAGTGACTTGGAGTCGATGGATTACGTTCCAATGCCTACGAATACACAGCTAGCTTCGTACATGTCTTCCTATCACAGGAGACAAGCTTTCGGTATGGATCAGCTTACACTGCCTCTAAAATACATCTGATTCCTTTTCCAGCAACATTTTTTTACTTAGAAATTAGTCTAACAATTGCATATGAACACGAACCAATTTCTAATTTTCTTGTTTTGTTGGAATCGAAGTACAAAACTAGCCGCTTCCATCTTTTCTAATTGAAGTCAGTTGGCTATGGATCGATCGCGTGTTTAAATACTCAAAATGTCGATGTATAGTTTAATGAATAAGCATTAGACAAGCATATCAATCCTTCTAAGACTCGTATACAAGCCCCTAGCCTCGCATACAAATCATCGAGGCTAATGGCCCAACATGGAGCTTTGTTCCATGTTGGTGAAGGTTTCGTTTATCAGCTTGGTAGCGGACACTTCGATTCCAATGTCTCAGACTTCGCCGTGCATTTCAAGGCCGAAATTTTGTGTCATGTATGGTTTTCTATGTACATTATCTCTTCACTTCCATTGGTTTTCAATTGTCTCAAGATTTTCCCTTTGTTCTCCAATGCAGTGTCATACTTGCAAACCAATCATGGGGGGATCACAATTTTTGGATGGACAGTCGACAGAGCCCTCCTCAACACAATTTTCTTCATTGAACTGTCTCTGATCACCTTTGTTCTTGGAAAGACATTAGTTTTCACGTCGACCTGATGCACGCCGCTCGATCCACGACCACATTGGCGTCGTGAAATCGACATGCACAAATGAAGTTAAAGATGCCCACAGTTGTCGATCTTTTTCGGTTTGCACCTTCATCTCTTTGGTTGGAATTACAGATTCGCGCCTAAATCGTAGATTTGTTCTGCTTGGCAGCGTCGTCTCTTCGATTATTTCCCCATGAAATCTGTCGTTGATTGCTTGATTACATTCGAAATGCCGAAATCATGCTGCTTCTTTGTATACTTGATTGTTGATTACTTGATTACTTGATTGCATTCGAAAATACCGAAATCATGCTGCTTCTTTGTATACCGGAAACAGAGGAGAAGATTATTTATTTAATTTTATATTTGGTCGAGAGTTCGTGTTTTTCGTAATCATATCTCCATGTAATAAATAAAGAGTGTTGTTATTCTCACTCCAGTGCCTTTATCTCCTTACTCATTTTTTAATAAAATTTTTAATTACAAGTTTCCTCATTTATAAAACGGCTGATAAAAATCTTACAAGATATATAATAATAATAGGATAGGTGCGAAAAGAAAACATGAGCCTAAACTTACATTGGATTCTGAAAGGAATGGACAAAACATAAACCGTATTCTAAAAAAAGATGCGAAGGATGAGGATAAAAGGAATTCTAAAATGAATAAATGTGGATGCCTTTTTTAATTAAAGGGTAAGAAGCCAGCAACTAATGGTGATTGGATATTGATGGTATTTATTGGAGTTTATAATCACATAGCAGCAGAGTATTTTGGAAGGTCATTTAGTTACTGGTTAATTGGAGCTATTTTAAGGATAATAGTGGGTAAAAAAATAGCATTTCAATTCTGAACTTTTTACGGTCGGTGAAATTATAGACACTGAAGTAGGTTCAGCGGTTCTCTAAAGTTATGAAGTTGTAAAAGCTGTCCCACAGAGTCTCGGTTTGTCGTGCAACAAGCTAACATGCGAACGCGTAACTGGATCGCCATGTATCGAAAAACCACTTGTAACTTGGACAGGTAAGTCGAGTTATTATTTACAAACAGAAACCAAAAAGGAACGCAACGGAGAGGATTGCACTATCCGCCAGAAAAACAGAAGACATCCTTTGAGACGAGGCAGCACAGCGCCCATTTGCTTCGCACCTTCCAAAGGACGAACACGTCTGCCGAACCCAATTGCAACAATTTTCACCTCGGTACCAAGGTTTCATTGTCGCACGACACAACCTACAGCCTAAACTAAACATCAAATATTTGGAATGGATCGAAAACAAACACGACACCAATACGCTACTGACTGTTCAGCGCCCAAAAACAACCTAACACTTTAGATTATGTGGAACAGAATTTGAGTAGCACATAGGCAGATCATTAGCTGTGATTGTGCATAAACTTCATCAGCCAATACCTGTATGTGCGTGGGATACGCCTCTACGGCCCTAATGTGCCTGTTGAACCTCATCAGCCCCCACCTGCAGAAAGCATATGGCAAAGTATGTCTATTTCCACCTAGGCTCTCCTCATACGATATTCGCTTAAGTGAATGGGAAGCGAACAACTATATTCCATCTTCAAGCAACCCATTCGACTCCAGCCACGCCTATAATGGAATTACGACACAGACAAGCAATTCTTATTCATTTAAGAGATAAAAATATGGGAAACCCACTTATGGATACAAAACTACAAAAGTTGCACCATATGCCGACGAAGGTTGTTAAATATAATCACATCTCCAAACGACCAACACACATATTTATGATAACACATGCAGAAAATTAAGACAGCACAATTGGCAGAAAATCAGCCACAGTTTCCTCCAACACCATGTATATAAACCATAGTCTATATGCTTTGAGTTAGTTATCCCTATATACATCAGCCAACCATCTTAACCGTGCCCAATCCTAACTTTTTCTAAACATCAGTTTCAAACTAATTACACCACAGTACTAACTTATATCCAAAGAAAAAGACTCGTATAACTCTTAAGTTTTCACAAGATGGTGTATGAGCACCAAATCCAAGTATTCCTAAAGATACAGGCTTTAGCTTTTCAAAGTTGTTCATATACAATTTTGGACTAGAATTCAGACCCCCATTTATGTCCTCTAAATAATGCATGGACCAGAATTCATACCCCCATTTCGATGACAAAATATGTTTATATCGCTAGTACAACTAGCATTTCAGTATTTATGCATTCCAATTTTAAGCAGCATTGAATTTTATTCAATTATATGAACTTCAAAGCAAAATGAATGGGCTACAACATGGTCTTGAAATTTGGTCAAATTTAGAATATGAAGTATGAACTGTCCTGGAATTGCAATCAGAATTGGTTTTTATTCTTCATTTTCCTTTCTAACGCATTTCTCAATACTCTTCTGAAAAACAAAAGAAAAAGCATACACTAAAATGCCGTCAAAATAATTCACATAAAAAACCATTAAGATCCGAAGAAGATAAGACCAAAATCTAAACAAACCAAGGCTTTGCATAGTACCTCTAGTTTGCCAGTAGGAACAACTAATTGAAGTTCTATAAATTCCTGGAAGTGCAGGAAACCTCCTCAATTTGCTTGCTTTGATACTGCAGTGACATGCGCAGATATATGTCATAAAAAAATCTACAACTAGTGAAACGTTGATTCTTCACGCCACCAGAAGCAAAAAAGGGAATAATTGGACAAAGTGAATCATTTTTCATGTTCACGGGTACTGGTGGAGGTCAAAATACCAAAAATGACTCTAAGAAGGCCACTTAAGTAATAAAGAATGAGCCACTAAACCAACACAGGGTAACCATAGAATAGACTCAATTTGCTATGAACTCACCGAAAATTTGCAAATAGAAGAACTACACTAAGCAAGCAATAAAGTTGATATCTGAAAAACTCGGCTCCTACCCAGCACGAAAGAGAATGGAAATAGTTACAGTTCTCGTGCACATCAATCAGAAAGATAAAATTACCATGTAACCTGTCAGGTGCAGCAATGAATTTTATACATCTTTAAGGGCTTTAACATTCAAGAAGCTACTGAAAAGACATATCTTCACTCTCGAACAAATGTTTTAAAACGGATACATTGTCTATATTAAAATCAAATAATCCCCGTATGGTTTAAAATCTTCATCCCCCAGAACATTCCACATATATCAGAGATTAACATATTACCTTTAAAAATAATATGGTAACGGACAAACTCTTCATCAAGGAAAAGCAAAGAACGCCCCTCCACTTTACACCAACCACCTCTTGCAAACACAACGTGAATATTAAATATGTCCTAATATAACTGGCAGTGCAAAAATTGAAAAGCAAAAGAGAGCTGTTTACAATGTACCAACGAAAATACGTTACATACACAAGTGTCAGTTGAAACTGATTCTCTTTAAAGAAAAGGCAATTATGCCACACCTTGCAATGAAAGCAATGTCACAGATGCATTCCCATATGATGACCAAAGATGAAAGGCAAACTTGACCTGCAACAAATCTTGGTTGACAGGGAAGGCATACAATAATACATTCTCCAACCAAATCATGAAGAAATGCCTGCTAAAAAACAGCACAAATGATCGTCTGACATAGAATGTTTGCAACTTCCGTTCAAAGCATGTCTCTCACCTCAGCCATATCCAATAGGGCGCTGATCACCTGATTCATTTCTACTAGCCAAACACACCACCAGTTCCTATTTGCCCTTGCTGCAACTCCTTTCTACGTTGCTCTTCCAAAGGATCTGGACTCTTTAAAACTCTCCGCGTGCGCCTATTTACAACATGAATATTGTTAAATGTAGGAAATCAAGTCCCAAGTGCATGTGGGACTTGTTTGTAGCATTAGATAGATCAAGGTACCTGTCCTGAGCATGTTGAGCAGGAAAGGTAGGCATGAACTCCTTTGTTGTAGGAAGAGGAACTTCACGGAACCATTCATGATTCAGAGCATCTCCAGCTGTAATTCTCTGTATAAAATACAGTACATGTATAAGTAACTATACCAATAATACCCAAATAAGGCAATTCTAGGTAGGAGACTTACCTCCTCAGGATCATAAGTTAGAAGCCTGTTCAACAAATTAAACCCAGCATCAGAAAGTACTGGAGATCCAGTAAATGCCGTAGCTGGGAACTTCTTGCGCAAAAGATTATACCTGAAAGAAACAGGTCAGAAGTTAATGGATAAATGAAAATCTTAGAACTGAAAGCATCACCAATGGAGGCCAGATAGCCAGATCAGAATCACCCAAAGCTGGAAGCCTGGGAAAACAGTGGCAAGAATAAGAACACCAAGATGTCATAATAAAAAATTAAAAAAAATGGGTATCAGTTCATGAATATATTCATACTTACGGGTGCTTAACAAAGTTGACCTTCACTCCAGGAAGCTTGGAATAGCCGGGCCAGATTGTCTCATTTGGTGTGCCAAGGATTTTAAAAATCTGCAGTTATTATAATTTTTATTTTTTTGAGAAATGCGGTGATTATATAAAAATAAAGTAACTAAATCCACCAGTATATGAGTGAGAGAGAGCGTAATCATACATCAAGCATGTCAAATAAAATTAACTTACCTTGTCAAGTTGATCAAATTCAGTTTTCCCATTGAAAAGTGGCTCCTTTGATAATAGTTCAGCCATGATACAACCAAGTGACCACATATCGATAGCTGTTGAATATTCTTTCGCTCCCAACAAAAGTTCCGGTGCCCTGCATTGAAAGAGCATCAATGACTAAAACATCCGAGGGTATACGGAAGCATGGATCTACGTACAACATACACATGCACAAGCACACAGGCAAAAGGCAAACAATAACCCACACATAACAAATAAAAATCAGAGGAAAGACAATTGTGGAAAACAGGACCAGTTAGATCAATGGTTTTTATCACATTAAACCCATCATGACTAACATACGCTGAGTTGGAATCAACCTTGAAATACAAGGAGAGATACCAAGAATACAAAGCTAATTGAACAGACAAATTACTTGAGAATAAAAGAACTGAATCCAATAACAGTAAAAAAAAAAAAAAAAACATGAAACCATAAGTCAATCTTGAAAATCAAAGTGGAAGTCGTCAACCAATTAAAAAAAAAAAAATCAAATATGAAGTAATAGTTTAAACTGAATAGCACAAAACACCTCAGGATGAAATGAAAAAGAAAATAACGAGCAATGGGCAGTTGCAGCTAACCTGTACCAAAGAGTAACCACCAAATGAGTATATGGTTTTAAAGGACTCCCATACTGACGAGCCAACCCAAAGTCACATATTTTCAACTCACCCCGGTTATTCATAAGCAAGTTTGATGTCTTCAAATCTCGATGAAGCACCCAATTATCATGGAGATATTTCACACCTGCCAATAACTGGAGCATAAGGCATTTAACTTCACTCTGACTGAATGGCTGCTTCTTTGTCTCCATGAGTGCTTTAAGATCATGTTCCATGTATTCCATCACCATAAAAATACTATCAAGGTTACTCCCCACCACCACTTCCTTCACATCGACAATTGATGGGTGATGAAGCGAAAGAAGAATGTTTATTTCCCTAAGAGAAGTCAATGGAAAACCTTCTCTTTCCTTCTCCATCTTTACCTTCTTCAAGGCCACAATTTCTTTAGTTTTCTTATCCATAGCTCTATACACAACACCATAAGTGCCTTCATCTATCTTGTTTAGTCTCTCAAACTCATCAACACTTCTACAACCCTGAAGCATGTTTACGCTTCTTTGTGGAGGGGCTGCAGGTTCAGCTGTCTCACGAGAGTGATTGTCATCATCTGAATCTGTTTCTGACTGACTAACACTAGAATCATTATTACCAAGATCCTTGTCAGTATCCATATAGTCATCCCTCTCTGAATCATTATCTTGGTAAACATCCCTACTGGAAGACCTTGCATGGGCATCTCCTTCATCAGATTCAGATGACTGCCCTCTTGCTCGTTCAGACTCATCTCTCTTAAGCTCCCCTGACTCGGGGGTTAATGAATTATTCTGTACTCTATCTTCCACTGACCCTACCAGAGGTATTTTCTTCCTCCTTTTAGGCATTTCCTTGTTCTCTAGAATTTCACCTTCATCCCCAGGCGAATTATTTCCTGCTGCCCATCTTGAAGATGATATATTCCGGGTGGGAACACATTCTTCATCTCCTAGCTGCTCAGCTTCATGGTCATCACCATGATCATCACCCGATTTCTGATTTGGTGAAGATATCCCCAATGGAGACTCAGAAACACCATTGCTAACAGACCCAGATCCCACCGGTGCCTTAACTGGTGAGGAAGATTGTAAATTCTCGACTTGATCAATTTTAGCTGAAGATATTTGTACGCTGTTATCTGAAATAACATTGGGAGACTGATATTGTACCCTAGACAATGGAGGTTGTGGAGGAAGTGCTGCTGCCACTGTGGGAATCCTATTTTTTGATGGATTACTCACTCCTTGGTCATCTCTATCCCAGACAATAGGCGAAAACTTCCTTTTCCTCTCTTTCGGAGACTGAGCTCCATTCTCCACCACTTTTGGAACTATATTTTCTTTGATCTGCGCTGCAGATTCAATAGCATCGTCAGATCCCACTCTCACTCGACAATTCACCAGGTTCCCTGTCCAATGCCCTAAGAGAAAACCCACAAGGCTTGGGCCCACGGCTCACAACCCGCCCACTGCTATTGCTTGAATCACTCCTACTCGAAGAGGCGCGATACCCACCATTAGCACCATTCCCCTCCTTAGAATCCTTCTGCCTAACCCTAATTTTATCTCTCAAATCCCTAACTTGACCCCTTTCAACATCAGGATTTCCGTTCCTAATCCGTTCATAGTCCTCCTTGGCCGTAGCAAAATCCTTCCTTGGCAACTCAAAACTGGACTCTCGTTCCCTGAATTCATTTTCACGATAACCCCCATGTCTTCCAGCAGCCATAAATCTCTATATCCAAAGCTCTAAAGCACCACGGAATAGGGAAACCTTATCCCAATTCAAGTCAGCTATAAACCCTAACCCTAAACCCCGACAAAATCAGACCAATCACTTCCCCAATATTTGAATTGAAAAATCACAAAATTCGAAGAAATTGAATACGAACCCTAAGTCCGAACGGACTCGGATCCAAAAACAAAACGAAATTCAAACAATAGAGCAGAAAACAGTACCAGTTACTTATTCAATTCACGAGCTATGCAGCCAAGGAGATTATTCAATTTCGAAACGAAACCCTAAGAAATTGAACAAGAAAATAATAGGAAGCTAAGAAATTGATAAATATAGGTGCAATTGGGGGAGTTAGGGTTTGAAAAGAATTGATTGATACAGTTTCAAAGAGAAATTGAGACGGCGAGCGCCGATTGTAAGCGAAAGGAAAGCCCTTGAAGGAGGACGGAGGAGACTGCAGACGGAAATGAGTGCGGACGCGGGTGCTTCAGATCGGATTGGGCTTTTGGCTTCGCTAACTTTATTTTCCTGCTTTTATTTTATTTTTTTGTTTTTAATTATTTATTCAATTGGCAAAATACCGGTTGACTCCCGCCTCCCGGTAATATTTTTGTTCAGCATCAGATATTTTTTACCAAGAAAAAACTACCCACTATTTTGCCCTATCAAAAGATTTTCTATCTTCGGCAAAGTTTCCGGTGTAATTGTTTGATCATCTTTCTTATAAATCATTATACTTGTATTAGTATCAAATTCTCTACAAAATAAAAAAAACATTTTGTTTATAATAATTTTACCGTTGCCTTTTCATATCTCTTTCGTCACATGATTACTTTTCATATTTCTCTCGTCACGTGATTAGAAATGTCATGAGTTTGTTGTCAATATAAATCTCTCACGGACCAAATGTTGGGTTTCACTATTTCACTATCTTCTATTTTTCTCTTCTTCATGCGATTACGTAACTATTTCATTTTTAACTTTACCCCAAATGAAAATTCTTGTTTTGGTTAAAAGGGAATTTAAAGTTTGCAATTTTCGCTTCTAACATAAGTTAGATTTCTATATGAATTTACCATCTTTCGTTGATGAGAAAATTGCTTATTTTGTTACTAGAAAATGTTACTTTGTTATACAGTTGGCATGGTGCCAGATATCGTGAGCTTGTCTATATTTCTTTCTTTCATTATATTTCAAGTCTACCGGCGTGTTAAACAACTCTTTAGTTCAATTCATACCCAATCCGGCTCTTCCTCATTCGATTACGAATTAGTAATCATGTACTTAATAGCACAAGACTGATTTGACGATACCAAACACAGACACCCCCATAGGCATACAAACAACAAAAACGTCTTATCTTACTAAGTGGAACGGAAGGTTGCAAACCAAACAAATAAAATAATTGTAGAAAAAATTGATACTGGTGTATTGGGGAGTCCCAAATTATTTTAAGAAAAATAAATAAATATGATAAAATTCTACAGGGTTCAGATTACATATTCAACAAGTGACAGGAAAGAAAAAAAAGAAAGAAATCGTAGATGTTACATGTACTGAAGATATTGCTACCAGCAAAGAGAGGGCAGCTTGAAAGAGAAAGTAGAGGGCAAGTGACCAGTCCTCCTTATGTAATCTGCCTTTTCTGAAGTCCTCAAAGCCTTTTCATTGAGCTTGGCCTCAGCGTTCGCCCTCTTTTCTTCGGCAATTCTTCTTGTTGCTGCGAGTTTATTCGTTAACTTTTCTTGACCCCGAGTTTTCATTCTCTCCGCTTTCACCTGGAATTGGTACATGGTTAACCGTGTTTATTATGACCATTAAGCTCACTCTCAAGTTAGCGGTGCAATTTTCCGTTAATGCTGTAGTAGTAATTGAAGATGTTAATGTAGATGTTGATCACACAGGTGCTTCGATTCATCAACGAAGCGAGTGGGGAAAAGGGGTTCACGCTAAGGGCAGTTTTTCGTTGCAATGATGGAGAATAACTAAGCAAATGTGAAACGAATGTCACTGATTTGGATCTGCATTGTTCTTTTTCATGAAAAGAAAACTGAGCTGATGTTAGTTCTTTCTGGACTGAGGTGAGAAGCTGAACATTTGGCTCCTAGTACCAGGTACCAACAAATATGTAATGTATAGCAAACAAAATGACCAACTCACAATTTCAATCTAGGATCTAAACAAGTAGAACAAACAGAAATTTTCAGAGAGAAAAACAAAAATCTGGGCAGAATCTAAAGAATGAGTACCTCCATTTTTCGCATTTCCATCTCGGCTTTCCTCTTCTCATGATTTTCCCAGGCTTGTATTCTCACCTCTTCACGCTTGTACCTACAAATCCAATAAACAATTGCCCCAATAAGTCCCAACATTGGCGTTGAATATACTCAAAGTAGCTGCAACTGGCTACAATTAACCAGCAAAAACAAAACAGAATATCAGCAACTCACCTTGCCATATATTTGGCACGTTCTGCTTCATCCCAAGCAATTGCCCTTGTTTCCAAGGGACTCAGTTTTGTACCTTGATCTGAACTCGGATTCTCAGCCATGTTCCTGCAAGCATTCGATTCTTCTACATACCGTTTAGCTGCGCTGCTCCCTTTCCCACAAGCACTGGCCTGATCATGACTACTTCTACCCCCATCAGTGGATGTTTGATACCCATGATGAGTGCCTTGCATCCCATGCTGACATGGCCTCACCGGCGTGGATGACCCCGAAGATATAGGGCTGCGCGCCACCGGGGTTGTGGCCCGGATAGGGGTGGTAGTTCTTGAAGGCTCCTGGCTTGCAATAGGGGTCATTTCTGTCCCCATGTCCCTTAAACATATAGATCTCATAGCCGCTGTCGAGTTCTCCATAGATTTGTTGCTGCTTCTCCACACTGAATCATCACAATCCACTTTCTTCGTCTCCACATCGTACTGATTTGCCATAGCTGACCCAGGAAAGCCATTTTCTTCTTCTTGTTGGTGATGTTCTTCTTCTCCATCTGAATAGTCCTGCTCCTTCTGTGGTACAGGAGCTATGAGTCTCAAGTCATCAGCATTGGAATTTCTGGGTTTTGTTTTGGACTGGTTTTTTTCTGCTCCTCTGGACAATCCCACCAGCCATTTTTGTGCATCATCCCATTTGGAAGGTGTTGGTTTGCCTAAAGCTGTTCTGTGATGGGGTGTCCTGCTAGCTCCATTTGCTTTCTGAAACTCAAAATTTATACCACTACCCCCAGAAATCTCCTTATCCTCTATGGATCTCATCTTCCTCAAAATTCACAAATCTCTCTCTCTCTCTCTCTCTCTCTCTCTCTCTCTCTCTCTCTAGAGTCTAAACTAGAACTCCATTCCCCAGTATCCACTCACCCAAGTTGAAAAACCTGCTTTTTTTGCTGTCTGCAATTGCACAGAGCAAATTCTAAGCAAAACCAATAAGGCTAAAGATTCTATCTTTCTTGATTAACTTGTCTAACTTAATACTAAAACAGATCTGGGAGGCAAAAACCAGTCCAAATATCTCACCACAGTAACAAAAACAACTAGGAATTATGCAGCTTGAAAGAACCATACATAAATACATAGATTTCTTCAGTAACATGCTTAGTGCACATGAGATGCAGACACCTACTAATAATCTTCCTACCCACTAAGTAGCAGCTACAATGCAAATAGACAAAAAATTAATTATGTGAAACAAAAACCAATTAAACTCGGCAAAAACCCAGAAGAAAAAATAATATCTGAAACTTCCAAAACTGCAGCAATGGACCAGGGGCCCATCTGGGATTTATCCACAAACGCCAACTAACCTCTAAAGATTAAACCTTTAAACCCCAATTAACCTGAAGGGTCAAATTTTTAATGCAGATAACCTGTTCATAAAAAAGTCCCAACAGAGAATTTAGGTTCACTCAGCAGCACAATGACTGAGAGATGGGTTTTGCAGAGGGAAAGGGATCATTTCCTTCTAATTTACCAAATTAAAGGATCATACCAGTGAAATTTGATCAAACGGTTATAAACAGTGATACATTTTAAAAGTTATAATAATTTCAACTGTTATATCAAATTTAAATTGTACGAATCCGTTGATTTTGTGAATTTTTTAAGAGGAAACCTTTGTCCTGTGACTGAGAATAATATTACCTTTTACGCGTGGAATTTTGTGACTGCAGAATTTAGAAATGAAAGTTCAGATCCATTCTGCCATTAAAATACTTAAAAGAAATCCATGGCGGTAACTGTAAGAAATGGACTTATTAGAAAACGAATTTACCTGGGAATTTGTGAACTGTGTTTTTACCGAGAAAACTGCCAAGTTGGTAAAAAGCTCCAACTTTAACAATTTACCTTTACCGTCGTCACTACACACACAAGAGGAATATTGGCCAGAGTTACAGGAAAATATTGTAACCGCTGCTCCCCAGACATTGAAAAGGTTTTGAAATACGGTTGTCCTTTCAGACCTTTTAAACGGTAACTAGCTGACTGTGGAAGTATTTGTGTTGTATTAACAATGTCGCGTTTAGAATTCGGACATTGAGAGATTTTAGTGTGACAGCCCGTTCCGGAATTTTTAAAACATACGCGTGAAAAGACGATTTTGTCCCTAGTGTGATTTTACGTTGTATGGTTGTTTTGAACTTGGTGTGGCTGGTTGTGGACCACACACACTTCCCCATACATTTTCTTCACCCTTTCCCGGCCCTGCTACCTGTCCCGTGCCATTTCCCTTCCCATTTTCCATCCAAACGTACAGACACACCCCAAAAACATATCAAATCTTCATAGATCGAATAAACAAAGTACATATCCATGCTCGTGAGGTCCGTAGGAGTCCAACCATACCCATTTCAAGTAAGGATACCTTCATTTTCACGTCGAACTCGGGATACCCCGATTTTGTCACTGTTCATGCACACGTAAATTCTTATGTTTTTGGGAATTTCAAGCTTGTAGGAAGCTTGGTGAGGTCCTTAGAAGGCTCGGGGTGGTCGTTTGAAGGTTTTGGACGTCCGGATCGTGAGTTTCGAGGTTGGCCGGAGTTGGTGGTGTTTTCCCGGCGAGATTTCGTGGATTTTAGCACTTGAAAGTGGTATGAACTTGTTCCTCTTGTTGTAAGCTTCAATTTGGTACCAATTTTGTGAAATTTGGTTGAAAAACGAAGAAGATATGACGATTTGAAGTTTTCCCGAATTTCCGGCGTCGGCAACGGCACCGGAGCCTCACTAGAGAAGATGATGGACTATTTCGTCAAAAATGACGGAATATTCCTAATGGCGTTAACGGAATATTCCTGACGGCGTTAACAAACGCCGTCAGCGTGCCAGGCGCGTGCCTGGCACGTGCGACGGTGAAAATTTTTTCTAAAAATATGGGGATGTTCCTGAGGTTGAGTAGATCACGTTGGTGTATTCATACACCCCATTTGAGCATTGTATGAGAAGTTATTTCATAAGGTTGGTTATGTGCTTTAAAAATTAACGTTTTTGTAGTTGTTTCGCATATAGGTGAGACGTATCCGAGGACGAGCGTGGTCACTCGAGGCAAGGGGGTTACGACCCTTCTACATACCAGTGAGTGGGCTTTTGGTTTTCCGTATATACCTATATACTCATGTTTTCCCAGAAAATGATTTGAGACGTTTATTCGTTTATATGCCATGTTTATTGTTTGCCATCATTTACGCATTATTAGTTGCATGTTTATATATATATGTTTGGCGCTGCGGACGCATAGGTAAGTGTCAGGTGAGTATGATTTACATTTACGTTCAGTAGTGTTTCTGGATACATAAAGAGCTCATAACATGCACCCCCGGTGTTATTGCTCCCGCCCAGAGTAGGGCACAGTCCTTCACGTGATATTCACTTCCCGCACCAGACGCTCATCTTGGATCCAAGTTAGGTGCACAGTCCTATCGTACAGACCACTTTAGGTGGTTCCGACTCGTAGGTGACCCGCGATTATTCGCCTAGCCTTCACATGATCGTAGCACTTGAGCGTACTTATATTACACCCAGGCCTGTCATACAGACCACTTTAGGTGATTCCGACTCGTGTGCAGGTATAGTTAGTGAGAGGGAGATTTGAGCTCTAGATTCAGCCGTACAGGTCACGTTAGGTGACTCCGGCTGACAGATTTCAGGGCATTTGCTTTGGCATTTTCCTGAGCACTTGCATATTACTTCGAGGCATTTGGCATGGCACATTTTCCGAGCATGACTTATATATATATGTATATGCTATTTTCTGGGAAGTATACAGGTTTTACGGCGAGGGGTTAGAATTTGTTTTGAAATGGTTTTTGAAAAGCTTTGTTTTTGCCCACTCACGCTTTTGTTTTGCGCCCCTCCAGGTTTTAGTTGGCTAGCACGTTTGGGGGCTTCCCCGATGACTTCCCTGGCATATTTGACAGACTGTCACCATTGTAGGACCACCTTAGGGTGTACTTTTGTTGTGTCGTTTTCTCCCGGACTGCATTAGGTTTTCATGCTATGAACGTTGTTTTCACACTTTGCTTGCACATGTATGTTATTACCTTGTGTTAAGCCGGATTTTAATTATTCGTATTATTTCTATTATTATTATTTTATTTGCTTCCGCACTGTGCACATGGCTACGTCACTTCCACGTGATGGCCAGCATGCCCTAATCTCGATCGGGGTGTGTCATTTTAGTGTTAAAAGTTTTTAAGTTTTTTTTTTAATAGAAATAGAGTGTGGAGTGTGCCAATTTATTTGATGGGTTTATTGTTGTCAGCCGAACTTTATTACACATCATAAGTATTGACATATACTGAAGCAATATAATGAGTGCTATCGAAAAAATTTGTAAAGTGCTTTCAACGCAACTTGCTGAGTGCTGCTGTCGAGATACCTAGCAAACATTACATCAAATACTTGGTGTGGCATAAAATGGACTCATACCAAACATTTGAAATGTCCTTGAAAGGCTTCACATATGTATTTTTCAAACTCTGGATGGTATGTAAACCACATTGGTCCCACTATACATCTTTTATTGCGTATTAAGAACACACCATCATTTCATTGGAAAATGTTGTTCACGCACTTATTTTTATCTTGCACACACCCTTGTTAATCTTCTATCATTGATCTTCTTCAATTGGCTCGATTTGACGACCAAAAAATTGAGGGGTTTGTGATAAGTAAAAATGGATGTGTGCTATCACTACTCCATTTCATTTTAGGTTTTATGGGTATATGAGGCTAACCACATTATTTAGTATAATCACTATCTAATTTTTTTTTTAAAAAATATTCTCACTAAATGTCATTATAACATATATGACCGTCAAACGGTAACAGTGTTAAAATACAAAGTATTGTTGCCAACTCTCATAATTTGAGTGAAGTACAATTGGTGACGGTGTCTTGTGTACATTGAAAAATTAAGGACTTTCATGAGACTTGTATACCCATATTATAGTATAACGTACTAATAATTTAGTATTATATATAAGTTTCTCTTCGTATGATATTTTTGTATCACAAAAAGTTATCTCTAATAAAGAGCGATTGATTCTCTCATGCAACTAATATTTAATCTTAATGTGTATACCATCAAATAAAAAGTTATTACGTGTCAAAAAATGTACTACTCGTCTACTACGCGATTGTCATGTAGCATATAAGAAAATTTTTCTACGTGAACGTGTTGAGTTGAGGACACGTGGACGGTGAGGATGGAGAAGAGTGTCAGTGCTCATCTGATGCAATGTCGGGGGTGGGATTGATTATTGCAAGAAAATGTGGGGGACTGGGCATTTTCACGTGAATTTTCTGCTGCAAGGTCAGGGTGGGAACAAAAAAGCTGCAATTGGTTAATAAATGATTGAATGGGCGTCATGTACGATGTCGTTTGGCTACTGAATGCCAATACAGCCATGCTTTTGTTGGATTAGTACGAACTCGTGTGACAAGTGCTTTTAAACGACCGAACTCATTTTTATATAAAATATTTTCAGGCTTCAAAATCATTTGTAGGAAACATTTCTAATATTTTTCATGATTAACTTTTTTATCAAAATTGATTTTGAAAATATTTTTTTTTTAAAAAACGCTTTCAATTATTTCAAACGAGTTATACTTTTTCCAGACAGTGGAAAAGTGGGCAGTGTCAATTTGCTAATTCCAGTGAATCACTTGGGGTTCAATTTGGTAAATGCAATTTTATATTGCTATACATATTTAGTGAGATTCTTATTAAATTCCACACCCCACACTTTGTTAATTTGTCAGTTTTCTTGTTCACGTATGCTTGCAGTTTTATTTTGTAGCTCATCACTCCGTTGCAGGTAAAGATTAATATATAATTAACAATAACAAAAAGTAAGCTAAAATATTACCGAAGCGAATATTTGGGCTAGCGAGAAGTTACTGTATTCTAATGACATGACATGTACATCATATTTACAAGTAACGTGACATATTATTAAATTATAACATGTTGTTTTTATCTAAATGTGCACTAATTTTATTTTGATTATTAGTTTTCCTGGCTGTGTAATGCATTTTCAGTTTCTCAAAAAAAAAAAAAAAAAAAAAAAATCAAAACTATTTTGATACAGTTTGATTTCGTTTGCTAACACATACGAAATCAAATATCCATAAGCAACTTGAGTGGGCCCCATTTCTTGTGCAACTTACCATGTAATGGGCCTAAGACCAAATATTTTAAATCAAACCCAAGCCCAAAATATCCAATCCAATTCTCAAAACCCAAGAGTCTGTTGGATAGCTAGAACTTGTTGTACTTTTAAAATAACTGGAAGGATTTTTACTGAAAATATTTTTAAAATCAATCATTAGTAAAGATACAAGTAAATCTTAGAAAATCACTTAAAAGTGTTTTATGGAAGAAAACACTTTAAGTGCTTTTGAAATCCAAAAATATTTTCACTAAAAGTTTTGAAATCCAAAAATATTTTCACTAAAAGCGTTTTCAATCATTTTAAAAAGACATCCAAACGAGTCCCTAGTCTTTTCTAGCTTATGGGCTAAGCATAACGCGGGTCAAAATCATCTCAGCCCTTGGTTGATTAGTCAAAAAAAAATAGATTTAATTCATTAAAACATTTGTACATCCACCAGAAAATTCCCCTACGCGCTACCAGATTTTCCCCGAGCTGAGCTGCTGAGTATTTGGGGTTTGCTAAGCTGCTGATTATTTGGTTTAGCTTATTTACTTGAAAACAAATCCGAGCCGCTTGTTGAAATCAGAAGCTCTGCCACTGCCTCACGCTCTCTTGCTCGATACTCAATGGCGATGCTCTGAATTCCGAACTTCGTTTCAGCTTCCGAGATGTGGTGGTTTTCAGGAGGTTTAGCGGCCTATACAAAGCCAATGCCAGAATCCAAGCATACCCTTTTGGCCACACGCACAAAAGAGCCTTATCAGACTCTAAGATCTTCAACAATGGCGACGATTCGGTGCTTCCCGTTCTGATCGTCGGTGCAGGGCCTGTGGGTCTCGTTCTGTCCCTACTTCTAACAAAACTAGGTAAGTTCTTCTTCTAACCCAACTTTATTTTTTTTCCAGTCCTCAGGCCTTGTTTGGTTGCCTAGAAAGTATGGGATGGAATGGAAGCATGAAAATTTAGAAAATTTTCACCCTTAAAGATAGTTTGTTATTTTTCTTAAGGAGTCAATACTTGAAATGGAATTGTGTGTAAGGGGAGCAGTAAGTTTGATTTCTTCGATTTTTCGGTGTGTATGTTGTGCTAGTATTATTTTGAAGTGGAATTCATGCTTGCATTCTCTGTGATGAAATGATATTTGAGCTGAGGTTTCGTAAAATGTGATTGTGCATGTGTTAAGGTAGATTAAGGCCTTAATCAGAAACTTATTGTCCCAAGTTATTAACTTTTCTTTTCTCTTGCAAGTAATTTTATCTCATGAAATGTACTACTTCTTGCTCAGTTGAGACATAATCATGCATTGCATCAATTTGCAGGGGTCAAATGTTCGGTTGTGGAGAAGAGCAAAGCTTTCTCAAATCATCCACAGGCGCATTTCATCAACAATCGATCCATGGAGGTTGGTTTTCATGTTTGGAAGATATAATTATAGGAGTTATTCGGAGAAATTCACTCTTCACTTGAACTTGTGTATTATTAGGTGTTTCGCAAATTGGATGGCCTGGCAGAGGAGATCCAGAGGCCTCAACCACCGGTAGAATTATGGAGAAAGTTCTTATATTGCACTTCCCTCCAATTGACGTCAGGCCTACCAAGACTCGGTGAATGTCCATGGATACCTTGGGTGCTGCCCCTTGCATACATTATCAGGTGTGCAATATGCCTTTCCAAATGACTTCAGGCATACCAAGACTCGATGAAATGGCGACATGCATGCTATTTCTGGTATAAAAAAAATTGCGCGTTGCGCACACTATTCTTACTAACCCCCCCCCTAATATTATTTCCTAGATCCGCCATTAGTGTAAAAAAAAATTTGCACATTGCACACACCACCATTCTTACTGACCCCCCTAATATTATTTCCTAGATCCGCCACTACTAATGGGAGACATTCTAATTATTTAAATAGTATAATACGATGGTGATAGGTCCACGTGTGCAAAAGTTTCGTACATTCATGTAAGTAGACTGTTTAATGTATGAATATAATTTGGATTTTCTATTTTAGCTGTTTCATTCTGGTTAAACTTTGTCATCAGATTTTGAGCAAGTTGTCAGCCCAGTCTCTGGCGCGCACTTCTCGCAGTGCAGACTGATTAGGTTACTACGTATTTAAGCAGCTTGAAAATCTCAGCTTCAAGTTTTGTATGTCTGATGGGTTGGAAGGACTTAACCATGAGCCCTTTCAGGAAAGGCAGTTGTTAATGGGGCATGAGTGTGTTTCAATCAAAGAGAGTGATGATTTTGTTTCTGTGACTGCATCTTTTATCAAGGATGGGAAGCCTATGGAAAGGAATATCAGATGTAATATCGTCGTTGGTACAGATGGCGCAGGAAGTACTGTCCGTAAGCTGGCTGGAGTAAATATGAGGGTGAAAAGGACTTGCAGAAGCTTGTGAGCGTCCATTCCTTGAGCAAAGATCTTTTATCTTCAATACTGAAGCTATAGGGGGTTCTTGTGGTTCATGATCTCGAGCAAGGGGAATTTGTTTTACAGGTATTACAGGCTCCAAACGTGTTATTGGAAATGTGTTTGGTGATATAAATGTGCGATTATGCTGATTATTTCTCATCGTCCTGCAGATTCCATTTTATCCACCTCAGCAAAACCTTGAAGATTTCAGTCGCCAGGTATTTTCTTTGCGGATAAGTAATTTGATGGAAATTGTTCTGCTTGATCTCATGACTGACACTAAATTTAGGGCATTTTTTTATTTTTATGGCCATTGGTGCCCTGGGAGAATTACATTGACGTTGCGGAAGTAAAAAGGTCATCATTGGTGCCCTGGGAGAATTACGTTGACGTTGCGGAAGTAAAAAAGTCATCAAATTCATCATCCTAGTTCGACCGGATGATCATGTTGCTTGGCGCCTGAAGTCAGGGGTTGTCCGTGACCCTGTAACGGAAATGAGAAGGGTTTTCTCTGCTACGTTAGGCGTAAAACCACTTACTAAAGATCAAGAAACTGATGGTATTAATTTGTTATTGAAATAAAAGTGATCTTGGTGTGCAGATGTAACGTATTAGGTTTGTCGTAAAATGAGACATTTCGTAACAGACTGTATTCTCATGTATGTCACTTTGTAACCAAGTTATGCTCTCTCTCTCTCTCTCTCTCTCTCTCTCTCTCTCAAAATAATTAGAGGGTCCATAATCTTTTAGCAGAAGATGCTAATCTATCCGTTCGCATTTCAAATTAAATAAAATTCCTACATTTCGACAAAAAAAAGAAAAACTCAGAAAGACTCCAACATGATAGAATCAAAATGGTGAAAGTCCCTCATCAGAAGCTCCACCAGGAACTTTGAAAGTCCCTCATCTGTAATCTTACTCGTATGTTTGTGTTCATGCTTACTGTTTCTGTTTCCTTTTTTTTACCGAAGGGAGAGGGGATTTTGAACTTGCACGCGATTACAGAACATCGCTGCCTTGGCTCTCAAACGAGGCTTGGCATTGTGCGAGTGTCGATATGGAGACATTTGGGGAGATTTTGCTTTCGAAGCAATAGAATTGATGATGAGTGGCAACTTTTGGCGATGCAAGCAGGATAAAAGTAAAAATGGACTTAATTGGATGACAAAGTATGGTTATCTTCGTTAAACCGAACATGTCTCAACAAGATCGTTTCGTCACGAAAAAAAAAAAAAAAACCCTTAATCAAATTACATCTTGCAAACAGTTGCGTTTTTACAAAATGAAGACATACTAATTGAATTATTATAGATAAGAAGGCCTATGTCTTCAACTTTGGGAAGTATCGCGTATGAAGATGGATCTGCAATTCGCAATCCAAAGGTATATCAGATGTGGCTCTAGGAGATGATACCACAATATCACTATCTATGTGGATGTAAACCAATCCAGGATCATGTTGTATGACTGATAGTAAGAGTAATCACATAGCCCATGCTTGCCGTGACAATTCCAAGCAAACCGCCAGCAACAACCTGTCAAACGGGAGCTAGAATCATCATAAAAGACGTTTCTTATCATCAAAGTTTTTGGTATCCTGTACTCATGGATACACTATCCACTAAACAATTTTAAGGTAAGAAACTAAAGCAATATACAGACCTGAAGAGGGGTGTGGCCGAGAAGTTCTCGAAGTGGTCTGCTTTCAGCCAGAGGATGTTCAGCAGGGAGTTCATACACAATTTGATTCAAAACCTGAAGAGTATCAAAATCCAATGTTAATACGTAGACAATCAAATCAACCAAAATTTGAATAGGATACTCATGAGCTGAATTATATGAGAACACAATGAAAACATGGTATACAAACATCAAAGTGTCGGATGAAGTTAATTCTTAGACAAAGTGTTAAAAGAAAACTAGTAGAACCAAAAATATCAAAACTTCAAACCTCAGCTTGGCGTCCAGCGTGTAATCTTACACCGGTGGCATCATACATCACCTGCCACCCAAATTTCTACATTAGAGATCTCCAATTGGCATGTGATCTTTATCATTGTTTCCAAAATGCATTTTTTTAAGTCCATGTGCGTACACATTTCAGCTGGCTGCAGTGCAGTCTTATTGAGTATTGAACTAGCATAATGATCACATTATCAAATGGTCTTCAGACTTAGAAAAAAAGTGCAACAAATTATGAGTAAAAATGGAAAATCCCTGCTATCTGCGAAATGCTGCAGAAAGAAGTGAAGGATCTTACCACACATGCTAAGACCAATACAATGGCAAAGAGTGATCCACCGATGCCTTCTTGGAACCCAACGGCTGTAGCAATAGCAGTAACAGTCGCAGAATGAGACGATGGCATTCCGCCGGATCCAAGAAGTTGCTTGAAATCCCATCTTCTTTCCTTGTACCTGCAAATCTATCAAGGTTTAAGAACTCTTAGGATAAACTAAAAACACCAACAATCAAAAAGAAAAGAAGCAATTTCCCATTTCTATACAGAGGTTCATTTCCACATACCAATCTCACATGAATCAAATTACCATTGTAACATCAAAATAATGCCAATATTTTACAGGAATCAATTTACCATTTAAGCATGTTTTGATTAAAGATTACGTTCTTCTAATCAAGAACCAATATATGGGCAAACCCACAATTTCAATTAACAAAATCTATGGCAGTAGAATTCAATTCAAGAACTTTCTTTTGGGTACATCGAAAAGATCCGATCAAGACTAAGACAATGCAGCAACACGGAACCACCACAAGAACCCAAAATTGACGGATTGGGTCGGATCCAAATTCGGATAACTGTGTAAGAAAGGAGAGAGAAAAGTACCAGGAGGTGAAGACCTTGATGAATTGGGCAATGGAGAAAGCTACGAGAGCAGAGAGGAGAGGGTAGTTGGTGAAGATTGAGGACGATGATGATGCCGCCGCCTCAACCATCGCGCTTTTTTGCTTTATAATTCTTCGAACGAGACTGCAAATATTCTAAAAGGTAAAATCAAAACCCCAAATCTGAAATCTTTAATTGTTTGATTCGCGGGAGGAGAGGAGGAGGGAACGAGGGAGAGAGAGCATGACGTGATAAATAGGGAGGAGAGAGGACCGACTGATTCCACAACGACCTACGGAGTTTTAGGCCGTTGCGCCGTCGTTTTGATTGAAAACAAAGGAAGAAGACGTTCTGGAAAGAGCTAAAGAAGCAGCTAGCAGACTTGTCTGGCGTTATTTTGGTATCTATGTAACTAACGGTCTTCGCCTTTTTTTTTTTTTTTTTTTTTTTTTTTTAAGGCAACTAGTGGCAAGTCACGGTTATTTATCTATTTCGAGAGTCAGAAAGACACAGGTATTTCAGCCTTCCTAGCCACAAGTCTGGCTTCCAGACCAGTGGCGGGTTTTCAACCCGAAACCTCCAGTTTTTAATTTTAAAAAAAATCTCGTAATTCACTATTTATTACTGAATCACTAGCTCGTGGTTGTCTTTGCCTTTTTCTTGACTCTTGAGAAATAATTATTTATTTATTTATTTTTAAATGAAGACGCTTCTTTGTTTGTGAAACATTTGGAAAGAATATACCCAATTCCCAATGTGTCATAATACAGCTCCCTTCCTGATTCTTATCCAATGGATGATCAAAAGATTATCTTAAAAATAAAACTCTTCATATTTTTTACGCAATGTTTTTATAGAAAAATGATACATAAACTAACACTAACGTTATTTTTTAAAAGTCTCACTTTTGAACAAAATTCCTAAACTTTTCTCTAAACAAGTTCCACAAATTTGGGTTCCAATCATTTGAGGTGTAATCAAATTAAGATTTAAAAGAATTTTAAAAGACTTTAGAATCAAATGTTGTCAATTAGAATTTTATAAACATTGAAATCATAGTGTAGTCAAATTCAAATTTAATATAATTTACAAAAATTCTAATATATTTTGTAAAAATCCACATTCATCATATCATAATTCCATAAGATTATTCATATTTAACACCGTCACGTGGTATAAACTTGAATGAGCCAACTAAAAGGCAAATTTTATTTTTTGGTGCAACTCCATATCCCTCTCGTCTGACTGATGGGAGAAACGGGGATATACCCGGCTTACATGGAAGATCTCTGTTTCCCTTTGTGTCTTGGTCATACGAGTGACACGGCACGGAAGCCTCTACCCAAGAATCTTTCCACCCACGGGGAATGAAAGATATGGTAGCTTACTGCTTACCTGCCATAACTCAGTTTCCGTAGCACTAGAAACGGCAAGAAAACATCAGTTCTGTGCTGGTTTGATAAAAACGTGTTACTCTTTTTCTTCTGTACTTTGCTTATCCGATCCCCAACTGTATTCTAAGCAGCTTAGACAGCATTCTTCCCCACAAAATTGACCAGTTCCGCCTTTGCCGCGTCCATTACCACCTGGAAGTCTATACTTGTGTATCTTCCCCTGTGATGAAGATTTAGCATGTCAGTTCAAACTTGTCTCCAGTGAAGAACTTGATACTGTATAAAAGCGCATTGCCGAGAAAGTGGATCGAACACTTTAAATTGTGTCGGACCCTGCAAATCAAGTTTGTTTACGTACCAGAAGTGAGTTTTAGACCAGAATGTAGAAGGATAGGATGGACTTGCAATGCCATGCATTATCCTTGCAACAGCTCTGGGAGTGAATTTGGCCTGTGAATTGCTCTGCAGAAAGACCTGTCAATCCAAGAGGAGCCAATACATTAGAACTGCCAAGCACGAGCTGTCTCGAGTATATTAGGAGCTGATCACATACGAAGGTTCTTACTTTTATATCTGCTCGCAAAAATCGGCTGCACATGTGAATGTTAAAGATATCAGCACGTAGAATAGGAAATCTTGATGCCAAATGATTTAAGTTTCAACAACCACAGATCATACCGACCTGGATTTACCCATCGTATTAGGGACTTCAGAATTGTCATCTCCATCGAAGTATTCGATAATTTTCTTATGCAAACATTGTGTGTGTTGGGCATCACAACAACCTTGCGTCTTCTCGCAAGAGTTAACGGCAAAAACTGCCGCATTAAACATTGCGTCCAACTTCCGCACCTAAATCAAAAGCAGAACATATTATTTGTACAAGAGAAACACGTTGTATTTGTATTTCCTCTGTTTACAGTGGTGTACTGAATTGATAAAAACGTTTAATGTGTTAACAATTATCAATTACCTTGCAACTTTCAACCTCTGATAACCATTTTGTGAGATGTGCTGATAGAGAACAAAGATCTGCAGGGGCTTCGACGATTGTAAAACAGTAGGCTTGGTCCTTCAGTTCGTATGTTACTTCTCCTTTCAACTAAAATAACACAAAAAGGAAAAAAAGATAACTGTGTGAACATTATGGTATCATTATGTAGAGGGCAGGGGATTACAACACGGTAAAACTTTTCACCTATAGAAGATAATAAAACACGGCAGCTTATCACAGGCCCAATTATGAAAATCAATGGCAGGATGAGGTTTGAACAAATCTTACCAATAAAAAAGGGAAAATATACAAATGAAAACAAAAACCATAATACAATTCACCCTTCGTTTTTCCGTTTCCAACTCAAATAGTTAAGTTTTCTCAAAAATAAAATTTTCTTTTGAAGGACTTGAACCTTTAAAATTTGAAGATGATTGGATAGGACAGTAGCTGTAACTCCAATGCTATTTGCCACAGTCGGTATGTCAAACACGTATTGTCCTTGCTTAGTCTCAGACCTGAAAATTTTCACTAAGCATAAGTTGTTTTGCCACATATTTCTTGGTGTAAAATCGTATTCAACTTCTTTGTGTAATCAAAACCACTAATTATACTCACTTTTTCAAAATTGCAGCAACAAAAGCATCTTTCCCTGCAAGTAAAGCTGGGGATGTCTGCATTAAGTACCGCAATATTCAACCATCATGAGGCCAGTTTTTGTGACATTATAATTCAAAGTTATTCTTGGCGAAGTAGAAACCTCTAAACATGCTACCTACATTATGAAAATTCAAGGTGCAAGTCACATTTAACTCTGGAAGTAAATGCAAATACTGCACTTCACCCAACTCCAACTGCGTTAGAAGTGTGAGCATCACCTGCCAAAACAAATGCCAAGAATAGAACATTTTAGTGCATAGCTTCTGAAAGTCCTTGTAAGTTTGTAAGTGATTCTTCTATCTTCACTTAAAAATTTAGAATATTGAACAGAATTAGTAGCAGAGAAGGACCTCTTCTTTCATATCAAACTTGCGAGATGCAGTTTCTTTAACCAATGAACAAACTTTCCCATGCAAGTTCTCATCACTGGTGAATACTTGACAGAGGAATTTGTTTACCATATATTCATCCACACCATCACTGAGAAGTAAGAACACAATACATAAAGTCGTGAACCACTTCTAAACCTATGAAAGCCTTCGATAAAGGGAAAGTAATAGAAGATGCTGCCATATTTAACTACCTATACATAAGACTGCGAAGTTTAAAATATGTGATATCATCATAATAAAGATGGCAATGGGACAACCTCCCATCCCGCCCAGCTCGTCCAATTTCCTACATAATTTATCATTCATTTTGTTAACAAATCTAAGACAAAGAAGCTTTTAGAAAAATACAGTGGTTTTGAAGAAACTTCCACCTGAACATACTCCTCCAAGCTTTCTGGCAAGGTGTAATGAATAACCTGAAAAAGATGCAATTTAGGACTTCCAGAAACAACTGGTAAACAATGGTACAATAAATCCAGACAGCATATTGCGATGCAAATATATGCTGGCATTAAGTAAACAGGCGAACATTTATGTTTATGCATGCAAATCAATCCTGACTTTGTCTTTCTTTTTGTGGTGGATACAAGTCATCTTTTTCTAGACTTTCTCAGAAGCCAGGAGCACAAGGCACGCGTAATATCACGATACCCCATCTGTATACTCCAAAGTTTATTATGCTTTTCATACACTAACCTAATAGACAGTCAGTACAGACACCAAATGTTGTCTTTCTCAGGTTACAGTTCAAGTGAATGCAATGCAATGAACAACACTAATTGAGTTTTTCTGGAAAGGAAAAGTTATGAGTATATTTCTCTTACAGCACCAATATCCCTCTTGTCAAGGCCCATGCCAAAGGCCACAGTTGCAACAACCTTCCATCAAAACATACAAGTCAATCATCCAAGAATTTGATATTTGAATTTGCTACATATGTAAAAGGAAAGAAAAAGAAACATATCTGTAACACAAAATTAAACGAGAAGAATATAGGACTAAGGAATGAGCGGAGTAATTTTCTTACCACTCGTATCTTGTTAGAGAAAAACAACTCCTGCACTCGACTACGATCTTTAGCAGGGATACCACTGTGGTAACTCTGGTTAGCATTTTACCATAACTTGTTAGGTTTTTATCGTTCCTCATCAATATTTACATACAACTTGTGGATCATGCAACTGAGAAACATGGAAAACTAACCTTTGCAGAGATATTATTGTCGCATAAGTGTCTGCTTATCATTTCAGTTTCAAACTGCAAAGTTAGAAAACAAGATTATTTTCAATTCAATGTCAAGAATGTAGGATTATATTCATCCATCCTAATTGAGTGTCAAGAAAGAAGTCAAAATTAATTGCAAGAAGTGTTGGCAATCCTCAACCGCTAGCAGTTTAACAGTATTCCATTTCCCTTCCAATAATCTGAAGTTTGAGTCTTTCCTCATTCAAGAAAGAAGGTTTTAAATATTGCCTCAGCTTGTTGAAAATGTTATCCTAGAACCACCTTAAAACTATCAAATACACAGAGTGTTACAAAACATCTTAAGGAAACGGGATATCAGACATTTGACTCAATGTGTACCTGAAATTTGCAGTAGATAATGATGCTCTGAACATCCTTGAACGAAGTTGACTTGATCAACAGCAGCAGATCTTTCATTCTATTTAATTCATAACAGATTCAGATACATATGTAAGAAAACTGATAAAATGAAGGGGGAGAAAGAAGTATTCAGACTTGCCTATTTCCACTCAATGACACTGAAAGTTGTAAATTATCCCTTAGTATTGCTTTTTGAATGAGATTAGTTGGAGGAATCTCTAAAGCAGACATGATAGAACCCAAAGTTGTGGCTGTGGCCGTAGCTGTCATGGCAAGAATACAGTTGACATTGAGCTTGGCACGAAGAAAACAAGCTCTAA